GGAGGGGCTTATAACCGAAATAGAGATGAAGCAAACCTGTTCCAAATACGTTTTGAATTTACTGCTTTAAAACGTCATACTAAATCAAATTCATTCCAATACATTTGGCGGGGGTAAGGGGGGGCAAATCCGGGGGACCTTATAAGCAGATGTATTTTTTTCTTTACAGATAGGTGGGTTTTTAACTAGGGAGGGTATTCAACCTTTATTCAAAAATTTCTAGTGTTGCAATAGGGGTGCCATCACGCAAGACGTCTAGCTAATAACACTTAAAATTGAAGGCAAGGCTGATCCCCGGATCTACGACAAGATCTGGCTTTCCCTCGCGCCGCTCCTTGCAAGAGTTGTTCACCAAATAAAATAATAATGACAGCAATAACAATATCTGCTACAAAAAGATTAAATGAATAAAAATATCACAGCATTGATTATACTCTACGTGAACGGACGAAATGATTATGAATGAACGAATGCAAGGGTGACGGAATTAAGCTGATAACAGGAGAGGGGAAGGGTGTGATTGTCTCGACACTCGAAAAGTTTCGCTGTGAGCCTGAGCCTACCCAGTTTCATATCGCCCCAATGGTTTAGGGATGTTTGAGGGCTCTCATTACTCAGTCACATTTGTTATCGTAAATGCTTGCAGTTGCTATGGATATTATAAAAATGTTGTCATGTCAATACACCTAAATAAACAAACACACAGGTTTATCCAGAATAACTAATCCCTGTTATTATTATTCAAACATTTCAGGCAGCTGCCATAGTGAAGAAACATGACTATTTTGTTATAATTTTCATTCGTTTTAAGACTTCATTCGTTCTAAGACTTTTCCAAAACCTTTTTTTTTTAATTTTTTTTTTGCAGTTTCCTCAGATTTGTGTTAACCGTAAAGGAGAGAAATTAACCGTTAGCCGGTCGAAAAGTAGTCTCCCTCGAAGCCTTTTTTGTCTCGTCACGCAACGCACCTCCCCAACAGATGAAGAGGAGGAGGGGAGGAGGTGGGGAGGGTAGAAGCGTTGCGTGATGTCCCTAAATTCGCGCGAGTCCTTTCTAAACAGAGTCCATAATTTCGTGCGAATCTGTCCTAATTATAAACAGGGTATTGCCACGGGTTCCCCCCGTTCAGTGTCCGACTGCCACTGCCCGGGTGATAGGGCTGTGCGCATGCGTGAGGTACTGGCCAGGCCGTGGGTTGGTGTATGTGTAACCCTTGCTTTAAGTTGGTCTTGGGGTATTGCCTACACGATTGATTCTGCGGATTTGCTTGATGCAATTTGTTCCTACCAACTCCTGGTTTCTACGTCAAGTATACAAAAGCAAAGACTATAATAACGTGAATTTGCTCTATTGCAGCTATTGCAATTTCCAATGAATGGATTTGAAACCAGACGGTGTGCATTTTATCCTTTGTCCTAAACAGAATAACAAAATTGAAGGTGTTGTCCTATACAGGGTACGTCAATGGCGGCCACTGCGGTGGTGATATGGTTGTGCGCATGCGTAAGGTACTGGCCATACCGCGGAGTCATGTGTGCTTCAGTGCTGAAATTGATATTGTTTATGCATTTTAGGATTTTTTATCCTAAACCGAGGGCCGGGACCGAGGGTCAGGTTTTCAAACCCTCAGCGGCTCACCTATACCCAAATACTGGTCGAGTAACCCCCCAGTGGAGACTAGTCGAACAGCTAAAATACAGGAATATTACCCGCAAGGCTGAGTTCTTCAGATGATTTGACTCAGCACCAAGCTAAGGTGAAAGACAAAAACAGACCTGCCATCCCCTGATAAAGGAAAATCTGGAGACTCGTGAAAAAAAAATCGGGAAATTCTACACTCAAGTAGTGAGATTCTATTTTTTCCCGCTCAAGATTAATGGGGCCCTTTTTCCATCGGGGGAATAACTGTTTATTTAACTATTACCCTGCTTTAGTTGGTTCCCTCCTGTAACAAATTAGATGCCGCTTTTTCTTTGATGAGTTTAAGAGGCCAGAGAATGGGTCATCACCGGGACGAAACTTATAGCAAAGAGTCATTTCTTCCGGATAAGCCAACTTCGTGGCTAAAATATTACAAAGCCCCATCAAGGCTTAAAAAAAAAAGCAACAACAACAACAACAACAACAACAAAAAGGCACTAACATTCCCCGCGAAATTTCCACTTTTATTCAACCAAGTAATGATATTTCCCAAAAACCGTGAGTTTGGGAGTCTTGTCGTGAGGCCGTGAGACAACTGTTAAAAAATCGTGAGACTCACTGCGGAATCGTGAGAGACGGCAGGTATGCAAATATCTCAAGACAAACAGCGAACGTTACCCTTCACTTGTCTTATGCCGGGTGGTTGAGGGAGGGGTCTTTCGAGTGGATAAGTCCAGAAATGCCCATTTCTTGTTGCAAAATCCTCCATACGTTGTATATTTTGCCGGAAGCGTAAAAGGTTGATATCAAAAATTTGTGGGAAATTAAAAAGAAAGGAGTAATAAATTGGGTAAAAGGAAATAAAATTCCCTGAAAAGAAACGGGCAATTTCACTAAAGTGCGCGTAAACGAAGATTTCTGTCCAGGGTTTGGGAAGATTCGGGTAGTTTGAGTGTAGTTTGTTAATTTGTAACTGGATGAACTTTATCTCTTAGCATGACGATTTCAGTACAAAATTAAAAAAATTATAATATCATATTCTAATACACACTGCCAGCCCCCCCCCCCCACCGGGGGGTACTCCCCTTAATGGCCTATAAGGGGAGGCTCCGCCCGAAAGGGGTATATGAAAGGGTAGGGATTTCACTCGTAGAAGTATATAAAAGGGTAGGGAAATCTGTCATTTGGGTCTGTGAAACAGTTTGACGAGTAAAAGAGAGAGCAATTGACTAGTTCAGACGTTTGGGCTGCGGCGACCTCAAAGGTTTGAAGTGACTCAGGCAGAGCATCCTGTTTTGCTCCTCGACTCTGCTCGCAGGGTGATTTTAAATAATGATAACAATATTAACATGAATACTAATAATCATCATCATCACCATGCATCATCAAAAAATTGAAACTGAGTATTCTTGGTTGCAACCGCGTGACAAGGGGTCCATGTTTATTGACAAAACAAAAAACAGAGGAGACTTTAAGTTACGAGAAACAGAGTCTTTGAAAGTGTACTGAACTTGTGGGGCACAAAATAGCTCGCTTAAATCGTAAATCCTTCTTTTATTTAAATCACCATCCGCTCGTACATTTCCTCTCCGACCGATCTCAACAAAAGGTAAATTTGCACTACTCTCTTTTTCAGCTACTCCGATTTCAAATGTCAATCAAAAAAGGATAACACTAATACGATACCAAAAGAGTCATATCCGGTTTAACTGAGTGTCACGACATTTCCGGTCACGTTTCGGTCATAAGTATATAGATGAAAAAAGTGAATGACATCATGAGAACACTACAGACTCTAAAGGGATGTGCCAGCGAAGGGATAATTACCGGGTCAAGAGGAGAACTAAATCAGGTGGGGCGGGCGTCGAGTAAGGATCAGGCATGGGTGACATGTATATTAAAAGGGAAAGTCTGGAACCAATTAGTCGCTGCTCAGGACTGACCTCGCTTCCACACATAAGGAAAGTGAAACTTGAGAAGCGGCCAGTGTCACCACTGATTTACATTGGTAAAAGATGAGACTAGAAACTAGAAAAAAATAACAGCTCTTTTAAAATATCCATGTAGACAGTATATGCATGGATTATTTTAATTTCCCGCTGGGCCTTACACGATACCTGTGTTTTCAGTTCGGGTATAAGAGCAAAAAGAAAATCCGAAAATGAAGTTTCATGTGTTTTCTTTTTCATCACCTTTATCTTCTTTGACTTTTGGTATTTGGTTAACTACAGCTGGCACATGAAACGTTATGAAAGGAAACGTGATCTTCGCAGCAGAATATACAACCTAAGCTGTTGGAAAAAAAAAAACTGAAAAAAAAAAAAAATTCAGGCTTGACCCGGAAAGCCTGAATTAGTTTCAGATTCTTGTTCAACGGCTTTGGTTGTTCATCCCACTGCGAATAAAATGATCACTTTCATAGACTATCTTTCAGTGCGCAGTTCAAAATATGAATTATTTCATATATTTCAATTCACATGAAACGCTGTAATAATAATATATCGACTAATTATTTTTTCGTGCATATGACCTTCATTTTATGCCCATTCTATCAAGCCTCCAAGAAAGCAACTTTCACTTAAGCTTTTAGCTATGGAAAATGAAAGGCACGGGGAGAAACATCTTAAAATGATTCTTAAATCGATCAGTGAACTGAGACAAGCAAAACCTAGTTGGGTTCAAAATCAAATTCCATAAACTTCTATTATAATCTTTCACCAGGCATCGTGCGCAGTTTGCGGGCTAAAATGGTAAAATCGGCGGGCAAAATATATTTCCTGCTTCTCTAAAACGGCTAAGATAAAATGGCTGCCAAGTGGGCTAAGTCTTTTATTTTGTTTTCAAAAATAAAAAAAATAAATAAATAAATGATAGTAATAAATGTTAGCTTCGAGAAAGGCAGGAAAAAGCATAATTTATATCCACATTTATAATGAAATAAACATCGCTTCGGCTGTGTTCAATTCATCACCTGCTGTGCTAGCTTATTTCAGTTCCTTATTCAAATTACCTCGCAAATTATTGTACAGTAATAGTAAAACAGGTGAACTTCTTGGGAGACTGTAATCATTTGGCCTTTCTTGAGCTATTTTAAACCCGGCCTTGCCAGCAGATCCAAATTAACGCCTGAGAATCATAATCGGGATAAGCTCACAGGGGTTCCCTCTAAGCCCTTCCTAAGTTCACCACTGTACAGCTAAGCTTTAATGTATAAAAACGCGGCATTCTGTTTTTAGAAGAGTTATCTTCCCCCTTAATTTTCATGAAGTTCACATATTGTAAAGTAGATTGATTATTATGCTTTGGTTGGCTGAAAAGCCATTTTAATGGAGACAACTAATAAACTTTTATTCTTTTCCTTTTATTCAATCTATTTTGCACGTCAATATATTTGGCTGGGCAGCAGTCGTCCTCGGCGATTTCGGATGTGTCGTCACCTGTCAAGTTTGTCGGTTTGTCGTCGGACTGTGAATTCGAGATCGCCTCCAGGCCTCGTCCGCTCACTTGGATAGCGTGAACCGGCCTGGGGACTCGTCGAGACGGGACCGCCATTTTACGTGGTCATACGAGCCAGGCGAAGGTCTAGCTGTGAGCAGGATTAATAAAGGCAGTACCTTGAGTGATAACGGTACATTAAGCTTTACCAGTCCTCGCGGCCTAAAATGCTAAGAACAAGCCATTAATAACACATTACAGGGCAAAAAAGGCACTCTGAGAACGAAGGACAGGACAAAGTGAACAAAGGCGCTCTTGACGTACCTCAAACCAAGCTCAAATGTACCTCATACCCCTCAATCTAAGACTACGTTCGAACAGCCGAAAAATCTGACGAGACACTTCGTACACGCGGAACATTTCAATATTTTCGCTTTTCTTACAAGGAACTTTGAAAGGTTAGGGTCTAAATTTTCATACGATAAGGTGTGTATGAACGAAACTTCAGATTTGGTGAGGAGAGGGCACGTCTGCGTGAGAAACGAGGGCCTCGCCTTCAGTCACGCGTGTGGTCATTTTTGTGCCTCCGCGTTTCACTCGACGGACTCAGAAAAAGAGAGACTGCTCGTACTCTAACAAGTGATCAGCGCGCAATAAACACTTTTCAGCGAGGAAAATGTACTTATCTAGTTGTTCAGGGGAGACATTTCGTACATCTGCGAATGTGGTTTATGATCGAAATTGCTCCCAACCAACAGAGTTGCAAGATACTTTCAAGATAAATGAAAAAAGTTGTTTTTGTTTTTGTTGTTGAAGTTTACACAGAATCCTGAATTGGCAGACTCCTAATTCTCCTGATCCTTTAACTTCATACCCGAAGTTAAGGTCTATTTATTGAAGAGACAGTCTTACGGTAATCGCTGGACAACGACTCTTTAGCAGAGCTATCCGTCGTTTAGTTGAGCAAGCCTATTCTCAAGCCAAGCCCATTCTCAGTTAAGGAACTTGACTCTTGCTGTCTTGGTAACTTTACTTCGTGGGCGGTTTGTCCTAAGAACTCCTCTTAATTTACCCGCTTGACGATGGGCAGCCACTTCGTCGCTTTGTATTTCAAAGTTATCTTTGTATTGACTATGTCCATTTTTATCGCCACTACCACATTCTGTTATGCTGCTTCGTTCGTCATCTTCACCCTGCTGGTTATCATCATTTTCATGCCCATCACCATCACTAACATCACCGTCATCATCATTATCATCATCATCGTCGCCGTCGTCGTCGTCATCATCATCATCATCATCATCATCATCTACGTCACCACCATCTCCACTACAATTAACATTGTCGTCGCCTTCATCTTCTCCATAATCACTGTCCTCACTTACGTTTTCAACTGATTTCTCGCTGATAAAAGCAAGAGAAAATAAATTTCTCTACCAAATGCCAAAACATTTAGCTATAAAAAAATTGCGTAAAAACTGCCAAAAGAAGTGGGAAAACTCCAGCTTGAAGTAAATCTTTTAAAACTTTCAATTTTTGGCCTCTTCCTACCATTATATTAAAAACTGATTTGCTGCGCTAATCGCTCTTTAGCAAAATGCTCGATTTCCACTTCCTCTGGGTTTCTTTGGTTTTTTCTCTGTGACTGATATTATCACTTGTTTCTTTAAAAAATCAGTAAAAAGTTAAGCTATGTGCAAACGGACGCAACAACTCATGTTGAGTTATTGCGTCCGTTTGCACGTAGCTAAAAGTATTGACCGGTTTCAAACTTTGCGCAACAACTACCAACAACACGCAACAACATGTAAGAGGGTGTGAAAACGGGCGCAACATGTAACATCCAACAATGTTGGGAGTCAGTTGGTCAACAATGCTGCGTTTGTTTGCACGGGGCGTTAGGCACATTGCCCAAGTCTTTGTAAAGTAAAACAACAAAGCCCTCACAGATATACAAGGTCACTCGTTTTGCACGCCTAACCTTTGCGCCTTAAATGTTTCTGGTTGTGGAAGTTGTGACACAAGCAGAACCACAATCTTTTCAAGTCTATTAAGAAACATGCCAGGTATAAACTTGAGAACTAGATCGTTCGTGCTCCCTTTGTAACTATTCCGTAGTTCTTTGTGTTCTTGTATAGTTTTAAGCGCCCTTAGAAACACAGGTACAACAAATTGGAATGGGAAATTCAAGGGCGAAAGTTCACCAAACTAAACTGGAGGGCCACTGGGCAATCACCCTAAACAAATCGGTTGAAAAAGATAAATTTGAAATCTCCTATTCTGAATGACCAAAAAATATAAGCTTCTGGAAGTGAACTGTATGTGGAAGAGTCCAGGGAAAGTACCTGTTCTTGTAAACTTTTTTTGCGCCTAAACTCAACTCCCAGTTGATGATCCTAGATCTTTAAGGATGAGTCTGGAGCTGCTTGACTTTTGTCAACCCTGGGTGCATAAAACTAGAAAATTCGATGTGCTGGCAGAACGACCCACTACAAAGTATGTACAATTTAAAAGAACAACCTCAAATCACAGCCGATATTTTCTAAAACTTCTTTAACAGAATCGCGCCAACAATTTAATTTTCTAACCAGACGTTCCGGTTTTCCCATGTAAATGGTAAATACTCTCTGTGACCAGTTGGTCTAGTGCTGAACATGTCCAAGCCCCTTGCATGACCAAGTCCCGTGAGGTAAATAGCTCTTGCACTTGTTTTTGGAAGTGAATGGGGTACTAACTTGCTATCGCTTATCTGTGTTATTATTGTGAATGCTGATAAACAAACCTGAATAGGGGACGGTTAGGATTGAAATGTTCTTTGGTCAGATCAATGTTCATCAAATCTGTTGACAAATAAAACAGATAGTTTAGAAACACTTGGCTATTTAGTCCCCTCCCACTTTTATTACATTTTTATTTCTTCTGGCTGGGCGCTTTTTAGGACCCGAGGACTTCATCGATTAAGTACTATGTCAAATACATGTCAAGTATCTAAATTGTATCCATCACAGTAATTTACAGTAGCTCTATAATTTCTTTTGTGGACGTTTTCTCGGATGAATTTGGATTTCTGCCCATCTACCCCCCCCCCCGACTAAGTCAGCATTAACAGTTACCATACTTCTCACTTAGGGCAAAATATTGGGTTAGGGGAGGGGTCTGTGGGCAGTGTCCAAGAAACCTACATTGCTCCGTTTTCTCTTACAAGTTTGCAATACCTGTAAATACACTGTCCAAGTAGCATCATCTTATTCCAACACTCACACATTTAACAAAGGCATGTTTGTGTCTTTTATGCTATTAAATTCATCAACAATAGATGAGGTTGGGTGAAGGTACCCTAGAGAATGGTGATGCTAAGGACATAAGAGATAAACACAATGTATCCATGGCAACCAGTAAGTGGCGTTCACCCCCAGCACCATCACACTGACCAAAATGATCAGTAGAAATAAAGTATAGTACACACTTACCAAAAAAGGGATGGGGAAGAAATAGGTACAAGGCAGCTTAAACGCAAAACACCACACTTAATATTGTGCAATGAAACCCAGCAATTTGATCCCTGTAAAGTCATCAAGCCCTTCAACTTTAATACCTGGGCTTACCCCACTGAGCCACTACAATCGAGATCACTGGCCAGCACAGTTTCAAGTTTAACTTTGCCTAAACTACATTTTGTTGGGAGTTCTAACTGTCCCTTTAAAGAGAAAGAAGTTAGCATGATCATAGTTGAGGATATTATCTATGATAGTAGTGAAAAGTGAAGCTATGTCACATGATCCAAGGCTAAATACCTTGTGAGGCACGTTGTTCTTGTTCTTTCTCACACTCTTGCAGCCATTTGTCCTGAACTTCAACCACTTCCCTACTTGATCCACATGCTGCATACTGATCCAGAAGATCCCTGAAAGGCATATTGCACTTTTTTTTAGTGTCAAGGTATTTAACACGAAAGTGCTAATTGAGGACACTATTTTTACATCTCCAACTGGAGATGGGACCACCATTTTACGTGGTCATCTGAGCCACGCAAAGTTCTAGCTGCTTGCAGTGCAAAGGGAGTGCCTTCATTTCTCAGTTATTTTAAGACCCTGAATATTGGTCCAGCCCCAGGAATCGAACCCGCAACCTCCTGCTCTGCAGTCAAGCGCTCTAGTGACTCAGCTAATCCTGCCAGTTGGTTAAAAAATAAATAAAATAATCTAAATAAATAACTAAATCCAAAATACATAGCTAGATAAATGGAATTTTATGCCTAAAAAAGTGTGAGCAAAATTTTCATCATATCAAAATAACATTTTCAGAAGGTCTCAGCAATTGGCTTTGCATCTAGTAAGTAATCATCAGCAATTAATGAATGAGGCTGAGTAGGATATGAAGAATTAAGCAGATCGAGGAGGGTGATCGAAGCAGATCAAAGAGGGTGTTATCCATTCCATGCCGCAATGGCTACAGAATGTGATAACAAACAAAGGGGGACATCAGCGTGCAAAGAAAGTCGTGTCCGATAGCCTGGGGTAAGTGGATTTTGGTTTCAGGCTAGTGATTTTTGTGCTTAACTTACCCAACGGGCAAGTAAATTTTATGGGGAAATTCAAATTACAGACGGATTGCAATCAATCCTGCTAATCAAAAAGGGTTTTGGGGCTAGTTGAAATGACTCGTGGGCTAGTACATGCTAGCTACAGCTTGCCCGAATGGCAGGCTGTAAAACTGACTTTCTTTGCACCCTGGACATACCGGATATTGACTTTCTGAATACATGTATCTTTAACAAATTTCATGTAGAAGTGTAGTTTCAATCAAAAGTTATGGCGCATGAAATATTAAAGAAGAACAAACTTTTGGGGCTTCCTGCATACTGTTATTTATACAGTAAATACCAACTGGTATTAACACTTTTAAGGCTGGAATTCTTAAACAACCCAATAATATTGACTTGTTAACCTGTTTAGTTCATAAAATGATGAGCCCCATTTGAATCTTTTCAGGAGAATTGCACCCAGATCTTGCTGTCCTGTAACAGGAATAACACTGAAATGTTATGATGAAGTCATTTAAATGACAGAAATTGTTTCTACCTGTATATGTGACGTTTTGAAATCTGAGAAATTAAAAGAAAAATAATATATATCAACCTGCCGTGACACACTTCACACCAAAAAGGTATTGGGCAAGATATTGCCTAACTGTCAATAACTTAACAGTATTATCCATGTTAGGACAGTATTAAACTGTCTGAGACAGTGGGGAGTTTGAGAAACAGGAAAAAGTTAATGAGGTTGTCATTAAAGTAAATGAATGAAAAAAATACTACAATTCCAGTGAAAATAACTTTTTCATCCCAGATAGTAGGGAGAACAAAGTGAGTAAGAGATTACAGAGCAGTACTATTAATACCACTTTAAACTTACCAACAATATACAATGTTGCAGCAAAAGCCTCAACACAAGACAGTTTACATGGCCTTCCATAATTTATGGGATTTGCTGCAACCAAGTACGGCAATAGCCGCAAGTGACCACCTTTCATTCGGCCAAATGGTGTTGCCTCTAACTTGGCCCATGAACAGTCAATAACAGCAAGGCCATGTTCCATAATGATAGTGTGGTCTTGAGGTGAAACACATTGCTTGCCCAAAGGACTTAAAATGAGACCATTAAATCTCTGAGAGAGTTTCAGTGTTTTCACAAAACCAAGTCGTGAAAGTTTTCTCCCTGAACACTTCTTTGGGTCACACTGCTCTAGGTCCTAAAAACGTTGATTAGATAACATAGTAAGTATTTGGAATTTTAGGAAATCCATTAAAAGGCAAGTGTCTTTGTGCATGCTTTGGTCGTTTAATTACAGTGGAATCCCAGTTTTTCGGACTACAGAAGGAAGAGTAAATATTATTCAATTATTGAAAAATCAAGGGTGAAGTTTTGAGTGCTTGACTGGCAAAGAGAAGTTAGGTTGTGTTCAAATTATCATGTTTTGAAAAAACCAAAGATTCAAGAAATCGGGATTCTACTGTCGTTATATAGGGTGATTATCAATAATGAAGTTTAAAGTTTACTTTCATCTTTAAAACTAGCAAAACCAAGGGAAATTACTCTTGCGATAATAAATTAGGCCCGCTCTAAAATAGCATAAAATTTCGAAAATAAGCGACGGGGCTTATATTTTTCAAAGGCCCTTTTTGAGGGGCTTATATTTGGAGGAGCTTATTTTTGCGGAATTTTATGGTATTTCAGTAGGACCTCTGCCTCGATCTTCCCAATAGCAGTTACTTTAAGCACATCTTCCAAGGATGTCTGCCTATGGGAAGCTTGTACTGTATGTTTAACTTAAGTGACCCCTCTATGGCCCCAGTATGATTGTTCTTTTGTTCACCATGTCATAACCGCTACCTAATTCAAGTGCAGCTGCACTCTTCTGCTGGAAAATGAAAAGCAGCAAGAGAGAGGGAGAGAGAGAGAGAGCCCCCTCTTGCCATTTTCGGGGGAGGGGGTGTGTATTCCTCTCACTGTGGAGTCTTGATTTTTACAACCACTCAGGAGGCTTGAAAACTCAAGGGTTAAATTACAGTGTTTGGCTGGTGAAAGGAAATCAGCTTTGGTAGGGGATTCTACTGTTCAGTTCAAAATTTCCATTCTCCCAGCAACAATAACCGTGAACATGGAATTTAATAATAGAACCTACTTAAGAATGCGTGACTATTTAGAAATATAACACACTTTGCGTGTTAACCTTTTTATTGTAATTAATGATGACAGAATTCTACATCCTATAAAACATGTAAACTTACCCACATAGCCAAGGGAAAAGGAAAACCTCGACCATAGTCTTTCGGCTCACGGTCACCTGAAATGGATCGGAATGAAACACGAACTTTGCCGCTAAATATCAGCCTTTCTAGTAAACATTCATGGCAGATATGACCAACAACACAAAGCTTTAGTGGACGTACTAAAAACAAAAAACTGTTTATACACAGCTACAGTAGTAAAGTTTACCTCGCGTGATGTCCTTCTCAAAACCCTCCAAATCTCCCGTTCCGTTGAAAGAAGCTTCAAACCTTGAACTCTTACTAAGCTTATGACGATGCGAGGCTTGTTTTCCCCTTCCTTTATGTTTTCCCATAGTCACTGGAAGTTAAAGATTAGCGACTCAGTTGCACTGAGAATACACATTCTGTGTCCACCACACCGCATCCGCCATTTTTAATTTGAGTAAAGACTGGGGCGAGCTTTTAGTATAGTAGCCGGAGGGAGGAGGGGTCGGGGAATCCTCGGAGTTCGGGACGGACGTAGCCGGGCGACATTCTTGGTCGAAAGGCGTTTTTTCCCATTTTTTGATGCCAGTGTGAACTGTCGCCCACGAAAATGCTGTAGTCAGGGGAGATAACCTGTGATCATACCTAGACCTTCCCTATATTTCTTTTTACGTCTTTCGTGTCTCTTCTTTCCTCCCCTCTCTTCTACGTTCTTCTCAAACCTTTCCGAAACAAATAGCATCTCAAATATCAGCCACTCCAGTTTCCTTCGACATTTCGTTCAGGATGTCACAAAGGGTCACCCGTTTCACACTGTGTTTTTCAATCTGAAATGCTTGCCACTGTAGTCATGTTTGGTTCTCAAACGGGGGGAAAACGCCTAATCGCAGGTTAAAGGATTAAATAAACTGCAAAAAGGTTACAGGAGAGATGTTCCTGATTTGGACTTAAGGTACCAGTGAGACTGGTCCTACTGGTGAAACGAAAAAAATCGTAAAATAAAAGAAAAATGATAAAAAATTCAATGTAAAAAACTGAATAACACCCTAGAACATTTTTTATATAAAAATAATATAAATAAACAAAATTAACCGAGAACTGCGTGTTGCCTTGCGCCCTTAGCGACCGTAGTCTGTTAATTATGCAGCCAACCCACCTCCCCCACACTCTTAACATCAAGCACACTCATGAAATAGATTTCATTATTTTTTTTGAACAAGTGGAGCTTTCACAGGATTATTTTTCATACTACTGAAGTCAGGGTAACTTATTTTTTTCCCTTGCTCTTCGTTTTCTACTTTTTCTTGCAGTCTATTGAAAAATAGAATAAAAATTTGCTTTTATTAATGCATCCAAAGCAGACCAGTATACTGTAATTAGGCAGATTATGACAAACGGCAGTGGGTTTCAAATGACATGTGCATGACAAAGACTGAAAGATTTATAGTTCTACTGTATTAATAACTTTTACCCCTGCTTTTACCGTTTTAGTTCAATTAGTTTTGTAAGTTTTTGGTCACCAGCAAACTCTTGTATTACGCTTGGCCTACCTGTAGAAAACTACACGTTATCCTGAGTTCCAAATGATACACAAACCGTTTTATCAAATGGCTAGCCCACGTATGGGGAGGGTGCGGCCACACATAGGCTGTCAAATGGTAAAATAAAATGTTTAACGTTATGTTAAGCGGGGAAACCAGGAGTCAATATTAAATAAAGCTTTAACAAGTGTAATTCACAAGCATAGCTATTGTTTTAGACTCTAAAACAATGGCTTCACTTGTAAATTACACTTGTAAAAGTTTTAGAAAATTGATCCCATGGCCAGTTGCGCCTTTCCGAAATGTCAGCTGTTTTCTTCTCAGTTAATAGCTGCGAATATTATCGATCTTTTCAGCGTATCATGATTGTCTATTCGTAACCTAGCTACGAAATTCAGACTTCTTTATTCGTAGGTTCAATACCGTGAAATATGGCAAACATGCCCTGGGCCATTTTTATGGTCCAAATTGTCAAAAAAGGTGAGGGACCTGGCCACACTATCGGCTTTCAAAACAAGTATTCGGAAGAAAGACCTTTCAAGTCTCATAGCTGAGAACAAATGTTCAAATTGTAACTTGTGTAATACTTGAGACCGTACTTGTTAATTTACTTTTAGATTAATTAGTTTATTATTATTATTATTATTATTATTAATTCATTTTTGTATATGATATTTAAGCGTCGTTAATGTAATTTTGTAGTGAATATTTAGTCAGAAATATTATCAAATTTAATCTTATGCTTATTAAATAGATTTTACTAACTAGGTGTCCCCGATTGACCGATTAGTACTACTCGAGTGGCCAGCCCGGGAGGGGCGGTACTCCCTTATAAGGGCTTAATGGGGACGTGCGGCCAGCCAGGGTATGTTTTTCAGATTTTTGTCTTAAACAGGGTATCGATTTTATCATTTTTTGTCTTAACCAGGGTATCGATTTTATCAATTTTTGTCTTAAACTAGACTGCTTGCAGTCCGCCTTTTCTCTTAAAATCCGTCCAGACGAGACGAGAAAAGATAGCCTGTGTACAGACGTCCCCTCTCCCTCAGAAAAAAAATCTCTCTTATTTTTTCTTCTCGGGCTTACGCCCTCGTTTCTCGCAACAAGCGGCCTCGCCGCTCGCGTGCTTAGGTTTCGCGTGCAGTAACTTTGCAAAGAAAAATAAGAGACTGCAGTCTAGTTAAACAGCCTGCGCCTATGTTCTACGAACTAAGGCTACAGCAAAAATTTTTTTTGGTGCCTTGCCGCACCTCCCCACCCAAGGATATATCGAGTACCCCCCCGGGGTGGCCAGCTAGACGATTTTGACGCATGAAAATTGTTCAATCATTCATTCAGGCTAGTTTTGTAAAGGATGAACTTGTACGATCAACTACCTCGTTCCCAGGTTAATGAAGTCTTTCACATCTCTCTCTACAAAAAATTGAACCGGCCATGCCCGGACTGAGGAGGAGTAGTTCCCCCTGTACAAACTCTCGGCGCGATCCATTCAACCAAAATTCCAATCGGTCCGACCGGGAAAAGAGGACCGCCTCAAAAGGTGGACCCGTTTTTTCGAAACTTTTCCGGTCGGACCGAACCGATCCATTGAGTTTTGGACCGAAATTTCCGGAAAGTTTGGTTGAATGGATCGCGCTCTCTTATTCATTCCTTGACTTCCCATTTTCGTCATCCTAATCACGTGACAAGTTATTTGGCATCCTTTTCGGTGAGGATACCAGCTGTCGACTCGAACGAGGAATTGCATCTCGCCTGACCTCAGACAGAAGTTTTTATAACGAAGTGTTTGTGAAAGGGTTCTTATATCAGTCCAGGTATCATAGTCATCTAAGTGATTGTTTTGTGTAGCAGATAATTGATCGTATACTTTTCCGTGTTTGTGTCTTATTAGCGCGGTTTTACAGGTCGAACGTAGTGAGCTTGCATAAATTCGACACCGCACTTAAATGTTGCTGTTTTTCCTTTTAAGCACTATAACATTTATCTTAACAGTTTCTCCACATACTCAGCTGTTTACGTGGAGCTTATTGTCGTTCAGAGCGTGATCACATATATTCACCTTGATATACTTAATTACAATTTTCATGCTTTCAATATGACAGATGAAAACCGGAAACTTTGCTCGTTCTTCGAGAAATAGTGCGATTTGGCGCGGAACCAAAGATTTCTTGTTTAGTTTTTATTCGGCAATCCTAACACAGTAACGGCCACCTTCATTCCTAGTCAAAAACAGCTTCTCAGTTATCAAATTCCCAGCATTGTTCAAGCGCGGCTTAATTATTGTGGGTGATATTGGCATGTTTCAAACGTCCTGCTATTGCCGTGCTAAGCTGGCATGACTGTACATGACTGTAGCTCGACTGCAGCACGACTTGGTTTCAAACGTCGAATTTAATTCAGTCGAATGGAACGGCTGTCGCTGAAAACAAAACACATTAATAAAGAAGCGGTTTAGCAAACTTTTAAATATATTCTATTGCATTTATAATCGCTGCGAAGCCTGGTAGGTCACGTACGTGACGAGCCTGGGTTGCCTGTGCCCGAAGCCAGCCTCATTTGAGATTTTTGGATGTAAATATGTTTGTATGTATATCATCGCATTTGCCTAGATTTTGATGGCCCTCGAAATCGAGGCTCTTTCGTTCACAGTCAGTCGATTCAGAAAGAAACCAAAACAATAGTCAGAACACAAATAAAGTGTGATGTGGAAAACTTAAAGCCCGGGAGAAATCCTGTTTCGTATAGAAAGTCACATTTTTGCAAGCGAAGAGTATGAATGCGAGTGCAGGTAAAAAATTTGCATGAATTCAAACGATACGTTTCTCAAAATATTCAAGCAATTTCTGGAACTCTACGCCTTCTACACTAAATTTTTTAATTGATAAAATTGCTGTAGTTATTAAGGGACCGGTCATTATTTATGTAGAGGGGGGGAGGGGAAAATATGTCGGAAAGATCAAGATTTCTGTAAGGCCCCCCTTGCAGACCATGTAAATAGCAAGTGACCCCCCTTCTTTATTCAAAACTTACATGATTACCCCCCCCACCTCATATCTCCTCTTGTATGCTCTACAAATCATTATTAAAATGCATGTAATAATACGCTGTTACGAGTTAAGACTTAATTGATAAATAGACGTACTAATCATAAGGTGGTTAGTTACTTTGCATAACAATGGAACTAACCTACTCTATTACAAAATCAGTGTATAAATATAGGAAAAGTGATAGATTTTTACAAATCGTGCCTTCATGGTGAACACAATTGTAATAACCATGCAAAATATGATTCTTCTCAAGTGATTTTCCCACAGTTGTAAAAGGACTACTTTCTTGTTGTTTCATCATGTTTTTCTTGGGATATTGAAGTGACGCAAGCATTTCATTAAAAGAAAATTCTGTCAAACCAAATATTAAAGCAGATAGGTCTGGATTTTTTATTAGCTAAAATTTGAAATAAAAATGAAGTTTAGAGTGCAAACAGGATTTCTGTCAAATGCAAATGACTAAGTTGTACAAAAAAGAGATGCCTCAAATAAACAAAAAGCAATAGGATTAGCATAAAATTGTACAATTTAGCATTACTGTTTCACATATATTGTTTATGCTCTACTATTTAACTGCTTTACCCATCTTGGCCAATGGACTCCTCTTAAAATATACCTCGCTATCAAACTGTTGACCCCCCTAAACATCTTAACAAAAAAGTTTAGCTCCCCCTTTAGCCAATCTGAAATAGCCTTGACCTCCCCTTCTTTTTTTCCCCTTCCTCCCCTCTACATAAATGAAAAGAAAGTGTGGCAAGGTTTGTTCTCCCTTAGTAGTAAAATGTTTTATACACAAGGGAAGCAAAGATTGAAAATGATATGATTCAGTGATAAGCTTGCAAAACGTTATGATCAGTTTCATCTAAAAAATTGGACTTGATTGGAAATTCATACATTCACTCAATCCATCGGTTGCCCTCTCTTTTTTCTGACTCACGGACTTTTATACAATGTAGCTTGATATAAACACTTATTTTGGTTCAAAGTTCAGTTACTATTGATCTCTTTTGTGTCATGTAAGGTTACATGCACAGTTGAAAGACATTGTTTATGTCAAATATCAACAATCAAAATAAACTGCAACTGATTCAAATTATTTGAAAGGTCATGCTTTTACTTGCAGAACTTCACTTTCCATTGGAAACTACATGTATTAGTTTATGAATTGAGTTTGTCACAGCGGTGGCACAACGTTTGAAACCAAGTTGAGCTACTGCAGTGCTACACGGCAGTAGCACGACTTGGTTTCAAACGTTGCACCACTGCCGTGCTAAAGTTGAACTTGATTTGATCAATTGAGTTCAGCATGACAGTAGCACGACATTTGAAATGGGCCATACTCAGCCCTGTTTTGAAAATTGCTGTATGAACCTCATGATTCAAGCTTCTTCATCAATATAAGTGGACTAATTTGGCTGTTATTAAATAATAATGGGAGCTTTGCTTTTGAATGTTCCTAAAAATTCCTTTTCCATCAATTTTCCAAATGTATGTAATGATTATTTGCCTGCCAATGTTACTGATTCATTTCTCTTGTTATTTTGGTAAACGAAGCCGATTTCCCCTGCCTGGCATCTAGGTGTTTTTCACCTCTTCTGTTTATGTTCCTTTGAATACTGTTTTGAACGACATATGATAAAATAATGTAATAGGATGAGTAAAAGTTTGCTGAAAAAGAGGTTTTCAGTACAAGATTGAGGATTGAATGAAACACATACTAGGCAGGATTGAAGCGGATTTTCAGATGTATCCGATGCATAGATTTGATTTCAGGTTGAAGTAAACACTTTTCAAACTGGCAAAAGTAGTGTCCAGTTCAGCACGGTTCCGTAGCTGACTTGGTTCCTTAAAGCTGATCTAATGTGTTGAACATCAGGGTTGTAACTTAAATGCCAAAATTGACACACAGTTAGACTGTTCACAGTCCCCCTTTTTTTCTCTGTAAAGGCCACCAAGATCAAACACTTTGCATTATGGGCAGCCATCTTGATTTTAAATGTACCAAGTCTACCCTGGGGATGAGTGTCAAATGTACCTAGGGGGCAGGGGACAGTACCCCAAAGCCCAGGTCCCTTGGAGCATATCAAACCAAGATGGCTGCCCATGTTGCAAAGCACTCAATCACAACAGTCTTGCAGAAAAATAGGGAACTGTGAACAGTCTAACATACAGTCTAACAGTGATCTCTGTGTACCTTTTCAAGATGGTGTCAGATGCAGATCTCCTCCTAATCCCCATTAATAGCCAATTGTGTTTTTATTAGTCTTGCTGATGGTTGCTTTGATGGACCTGGCAAAAACATGCGGTTTTCAGTAATCCAGAGCTTGCATGCCCACACAACCTAGGCAGCCATCCTAAGTTTGATTGGTTCAATTTTTTTGTTATGACTAGTAGATACAAATATTATTATTATTCCAAACAATATATTTTTTAGTTCAAGAGAAAAAAGCCAGGGAAAAGTAAGACAACAAAATAATATGTGCAGGAGGGTGGGCTTGCTTCTCAAAATCTTTAATCTATGCATGTTCGCTATCGCCTTGTCAGAACCCAATTACATTTTTTTAAAATTAATAATCATTGTGTTAATGTTCAAGGAGTTCCAAAGCATCATGTCTCAAAAACCTATCGCGGGGTACACAACAATGCAAGAAGAGCATGGTGCAGGGGGGCCCCCTCCATATGGACCACCTCAACCAGGGTACCCCCCACAGCAACATCAACCAACCTTCCAAACCACCAATACAACTGTTGTGGTGAACCAGCCAGTACCACTGATCATGCAGCAAGGAATGCGTGATTGGAGCAGTGGCTTGTGTGGCTGCTTTGAGGACTGCTATTCTTGTAAGTAAATTCAGGGTTTGAGTTGCTCAATAAAAACTTTTTTATTGTCTTTTATTTAGTGTTTCTCGAATTAATTTTTATAAGTGTACAACGTTTGTTAGTGAAATTCTACATCTTAAGGTGACTTGACCCAGTTTTTTTGGGGGGGTACCATCCTAGTTTGAAGCTCTCTGGTATCCCCACCTTTACTTTTATCGTAAGTCTAACACATAGAATGGATAACATATAGATCAATCTACAATATAACATAAAATTTTTTGCGATCGGAGTAAATGTCATGTGGTTATAATGCCACGCCCCTTTGAGGTCTGAGTCGAAAATCTGCTGTTGCCGGCATTTTTTCGTGAAAATCTCTCGGCTACACACAGTGCGCATTAGTGCGGAGATATGATAATTTTGGTACAGTGAGATAGGCCATTGCGTGATACATAGAGGTTTAATTCACAATTTTTAATCAATTCTCGTGCTTCTTGTGCCTTTGCAAAAAAATCAAGAAGTGCTACACACTAAATCTACTTACTATTAAAAAAATATCATTTTTTCTTAGGTTTAATGCAAGCCAATAATTAAACCAACTCGTGACGGGAATATCTCGGTGAGCATTCGGAAGTCAGCCAAGCACGGTCATTGCACGCGTGCTGAACAAGAATGCTGTATAATGACAGACTAGAAATAGACAACTCCCAAAGCACAAACTCAGCCAAAACGCTAAAAATCTTCAATGTTTACTCAAGTTTGGGCTTATAGAAGATAATGTCACAGTTTTTCAATGACCATGAAATTCAGAGTCCGGGTAGTTAGTTAATCAATTGTGGCCCTGAAAAAATTTGAAGGAAAAAAAACTACGGATTTTTAAGAAAATGCTTTTTTCGTGAGAAGGACTCTTAAACACTGACAAACGTCAACAAATAGCGAAAACTATAATTTCTATATGTTTGCTTTGCTCGACTGACTTGCAAGGACCCATCTGTTATAACGATGCCCAAAATAAAGAGATGAATCTCATAGTTTATTAGATATAATCCGTTTAAAGTTTGCTTATCATTTTTGCATAAATTATGACCTAAATTTGGAAACTGCTGAATTTCTCGAATTGGGTCTTTGCGATTTTGGTGAAACTCTGTTCAGCGCAAGGCACTAATGCGCACTATGTGTAGCCGAGAGATTTTCACGAAAAAATGCCGGCAACAGCAGATTTTCGACTCAGACCTCAAAGGGGCGTGGCATTATAACCACGTGACATTTACTCCGATCGCCAAAAATTTTATGTTATATTGTAGATTGATCTATATGTTATCCATTCTATGTGTTAGACTTACGATAAAAGTAAAGGTGGGGATACCAGAGAGCTTCAAACTAAGATGGTACCCCTAAAAAAAAACTGGGTCAAGTCACCTTAAACTCTCCTTAAAACAGCTCATGGATCCGGAAGAATGTAGATACAGGCAAATGCCTATATATGTGCAACTAGCTCTAATAAGCAATTACCTCTCATAAGCATCTATCCATCCAAAAACATTTCAGCCAAAGCCCAATAGTGAGAACCTCTCATAAGCAGCCACTTCTGTTGTTACCACAGGTGATGGGTAATTATAACCACTTGACTCATGGTCTCTTCTCAATGTTCAGTGTATGTACTGCACTACTCAGAATGTATGAAGAACTTTTGGTGGCAAATGAAAGTCTACACACATTGTAAATAACATTGGGAGTTTTGAAAAATCAAGTGTATTTGACAAAATAATGGGGATTCCAGTCTGTAGGTGATTGAAAAGATTGCTGCGGTTTGATTCTTGTAAATGACCACTAAACCTACACATTTTTGGGTGGTTTTTATAGGAGTTTCAGCTATATCCAAGAAAGAGGCCAGGAAAGAGTAGAGCTTAAGCATTAAAGGACTTTATATAATAATTAGTTTTAAGTTTGACGTCCTTTTTAATCTCACCTGCAACAAAATATATCTCCTCCACCAGTCTTCTATGTAACCCAATCTATTGGACAAGTGGAGCTCTTTATATGTAGTCTCTCTAACTTTCAGTGTACCATTACATGGCTAATGCTTGGCATTAATTAGGCATGTACCGATTCACTGAAAAGTCAACTGAACCCCTCGGCACTGCACATCACTGTGTCGCAAACAAAGGATTTTATTGTCATTTCTGCTCTCTTGTGGTAATCAGTGTTCTCTTCATAAGGAGGTAACCAGTAAAATTTATTGCATGAAGCAACTGAACAGTTCTTACCACCTGCAACTGCTTGAAGGTGTATTAAAAAAGTAGATTTTTAAAAAAATGAAGTTGTGATCTGATCTGATTCTCACAAGGAAAGTGAATAAATATAATATGTGGAAAAGTACTTAAGGTGGCTGAACACAGTTTTGGCAGTTTGTGAGTGTATGTCATTTGCCAAATCATAGCAAGAGAAAAGTTGCAGCTCACAAGCTGAAACTTGGCAGGTGAAAAATATACTGATGAAAGATTTTGATTGACAGGTAAAATTTGACGTTTTCGTAGTTTCCATGGCAACATGAATGATTGAATACAACCTTAAAATTTCACTTTTGTTCAGTTTACATAAAATTCGCTCATTAGATTTTTCTATAAACTTGCACACAGCTTACTATAACTAATGATTACCATTTGAAACTTATTTGATCAAATTTTAACAGACGGACTTTTAGATAATCAATAATATAATTGTATTGTAATTATTAAATGTGTCACGAAATTCGCCAGTTCAACTTCCATTTTAAAGTTTTCATTATCTAAAATACGATAAAAGTAACAATTCTGCCAAATATCACAAAATTTTAATGAGTAGATTTTGAGAAATTGTCTTTAGTGTACCATTGCTTTTTCGCCGCCATGTTTGTTTGTCTAATTAAAAACACGCGCGGTCACGCGAGTTACCGCTGACCGCCCGCAAAACTGTGTTCAGCCACCTTACACAGCTATCTTTATTATTATGGGCCACACATTTTGAGAAGAGAACATTGGAGACAGAGTAAGATTATTGCAATCAAACCTTTTAAATATTGTTGTCTAAAGATAACAATGGCGGATTTTCATAAAATAGGTCTTCAAAATAGGGAATGGCGTTTCAGAGAACTTAGCTCCTAAATTTCTCAAAGAGGGAGGGGCCATGTCCCTCACTCCACCCCCCAGAAAATTGCACCTGTGGTGCATATTTTTTGCCTTACTGGCCATGAATGGTCCCTTACCTGCTGAGCTAAAATTTTGGGAGAACACTGGGTAATTCTTTGAACATCATGAGGCCATGAGGCAAACTTGCTCTCTCAGTACGTGCAGCTGTGATGACTGTGAGCATTGCTGATGTCCAAAAAAAAATTGCATTGGAAATTCGTTGAACTGCATTAACATAATTATTAACTTGTTTGTTTGCTTGTTTTTTGTGCAGGCTGTTTGGGATTATTCTGTCCTTGCTTCTTGTTGTGTGATGTCTCGCAAAGGATGGGTGAAGGCTGTATGTTTGCAACATGCTGTGCTGGAGCTTTGATTGGACTGCGAGTAAAGATGAGGGTTCAGCAAAACATTCAGGTACAGTACTGTGTAGGCTGATGATTCTAATAATGATGTTTTCTATGATGGTAGTGGTAGTAGTGGTGTGGTTGTGATGGTGGCTGATGGTAAAAAAAACATATCAAAGACTAATAAAATAGAATTGAAGTCTATGTGTTTCATTAAATAAATGGTCAATAAATTTGACTAGTATATAAAAGTTCTAGTCTTTGCTCTTAGTTCTAGTTCTGCTAGACAAAATATTTAGCATTAACCCATTTGCTCCTGGCAATTTGGCTGAAAATCGCATTTTGAAGCTCTTCGAGTCGTTTTCTGGTCACTGTCTGGCTATTAAGAGCTAAAACTTACCACAAAACCATTCACAGGTCGGGTGCTACGCCGCCTTCTGATCCAGCAAAATATTAGCTTGCAAAGTTCGGCCATGTGCAGAAAGCAAAACGTCGAGATAGTTTTTGGGTTTAAAAGTGACACAGCGGTCTTGACTTTTTCTTTTTGCTTTCTCTTCTCCCCTCTAATCTTTTGACTCTGAAGACGACTCAAATGATGTCGTTCTTGCTTTTATTGCCTCAGACGAGGAATATGTAGACGAGCGGCCAGCTACAACACGCTCAGGACGAGCAGTAACAAGAAGAGCTGAAATTGACTTTTCATTCTTTTGAGTGAGGATTTGTTAAAAACAGCTTTCTAGCTTTCAGCTTTCTTTCACTAAATTACGTGAAATGTAACAAAACGAAATTTTAATGCAGTAACTTTTTTAATACCTTATGTACTTTTTTTCTTCATGGGGGGGCTTCCAAAAATTACTCTGATGAGGGGGGGCATGCAAAAAAAAAATCGGAAATTGGGGGGGGTCATACAATTTTCAAATTACACTCCTCCAAATCCCACCAGCCCCCACTACCCCATAGAAAATGAACGGTCCCTTAGGAAAACAGTTTTAAAAACACAACTTTCTCCTTTCTTTTTCAGGGTTCCCTGTGCAATGATTACTGCACAATCCAGTGTTGCGGACCCTGTGTGTTATGTCAGCTTTCTCGTGAGCTGAACCACTGTGGAGTTGGACAGTAATGTTAGTCATGCATCCTACTTCGTGGAGCTGAACATTTAGTTAGCACGTGTAAGAACGAGCTATAGAAAACAGTTTTTGCACTCAATTGTGTTAGAAAATTATTATGTTCCGTTAGACTGGAAAAAAAATTTGGAATGCCATAGTCTTTAAACGTAAATAGTAATGGAATCTATTATCCCCAGAATAGCCCGTGAAAATGCTTTTATTTTTATGGGAAAGACCAGCCAGTTCTTCGAATGATGTGACATAGTCAACTTATATCTCCACTTATAGTTGGACAATGTTGTTTAGGTATTGTTATTTTTAAAAGGACTTGTTTAAGAGACCTGGAGCCAATGATCCTAGAGTTTTCATTTGCCTTCAATAAGTGTAATAGAATGTTAGACATTGAGGCTATTTTTAGATTTCACTAGGTGCAGCAATTTGAGTTGATCTTCACGACAAAAATCACTTCCGTTGCTAGATTCTGATGTCTCTGAACTTAAAGATAGAGTTAATCGGTTATCCAATGAATTGATTTAACTACCTTTGCTTGACATTTCACCATCCGCTATTGCTGTTTATTTTCCGTAAATTTTACTCTGCTCTGATTGAGAGTTTTTTGGCGCGAAAGATGAATCTAAAAACAACTTAAAATCCAGTTATTATTAGAAAGATGTTGCAGGCTCTTTGGTGATGGTCTCCTGAACACAAGTTTGTCAGTTGTTTGGTCTTCCGCTGGTTTTGAAAAAGCTGTGGAGGCGCGCCTGTATAATCAACATTGCGATTGGCTTTGTGACGTACTCGGATAGAAGCAGCCTCGTTCCCAGGGTCTCTCTTCGTCCTGTGCCCTGGAGAGAACATTAGAGTCCTGGGTAGAGTAGTAGAGCTTTTTGTGTGATTGCGCCAAAGGGGCAGCCATTATCAGAAAAAACGATCAATTTGAAGCAAGTCTAATTTCATAGTTGTTGTAAGGGTCAACTATAAAACATTGACATTTTATACGAACTTTAGATGACGCTCAGTAAAACTGAAGTTTTAGTCTGAGCCGACAATAGTTAAAGGAAGTTAACCTTTAAAAAAAAGTGTATCAGTCTTTCAATGATTTACATTTTTTTTGTTTTTGTTAGCTTTGTACGAGTAAACGAAGGAGATGTATTAAAATCAGCGTATCCACGAAAGCATACTGTGGCATTAATTATCGCTAATGGAAATAGATTTGACCTCGCAACTCTTCTCTTTTTTGTGTATAGATTTTAAAACGGCACTTCTGCCGTTGTTTCAGTCTAAAGAAAAAGTACTTACATATAACCTATCACCATAACTGTCACTAGATGCGTTAGTCATACCTCAGTGATATCGAGGAATTACGCTCACGAACTCCCGAAATGTTGAGAAACACCTCGGGCTGCCATATTTCTTAGCAGCAACATTACATCGTGCGACGGAAAAGTAAACTGACATGGTCGAAAAGTAAACTGTCCATGGGGAAGTATACAGTTACAAAAAAAACTAGGGCCAATATCGATTTTGTCCCAATGTTCCATTTCAGCCCTGGATATTGCTTCAGCACACTCGGGCGAAGTCCTTCGGATTTAAATGAGGGAGGATAGAGACGCCAGGAGCGCGGAAGGATAGGGGCAGGAGGGGAATGGGAAGCGGGAGGGCGAGTTCTAAGAGGGTGAATTTCGCAAATATAAATAATGTTTTGTAATCGAGAAGGCTAAAGGGAGAAAGCTAATAAAAATGAAAGGGAGCTGGGAAGGCAAGGTACGGAAGGCGGGAGGTTTGGACCTCCATGTCCCCCCCCCGCCAACGCACACACTTACGGACCTGTGGATACTCCCTGAGTGACGACGTTATGTACTTGAAACTTAAAATGTGAGCTTCTTGATGTTGATTTGGAAAGAAATGAAAAATGTTTCTTTTCAACCGTTATTAACTTAAGACGTAATCGTCATTTTCGAACTCTAACCGCAGCATAACTTTTGCAGTTCACACAAGATCAGCTTCTTTCTTTTTCTACATCTATATTGCTGACTAAAACCTCATGGTGGTCAGGTTCCAGAGGTTCATAAGGTCAAAATCATCAATTTTCGCCTGTTGTTGGGGATAGTTAGATTCACCAGCAATTAAAGGCACCCGCTAGCTGAAGAATAAAAGAGAAATTCAAATACTGCAAAATAAATAAAATGACTCTGTTAAGTTATAAAATGATCACTGAGTTAAAAAGAAGAATCGAGTAATTACTGACGCCAACATCGTGGGTTATAGGCCATCAATACGCTTCAATTAGCCAATGAGCTTCCCTGTTTTTGCATGATTAGCAATTAAAGTATTAAAACTATTAAAAGTTAACTACGTCAACAGCATTCCCAGTGAATAAAGGAGTGGTGTTTTCCCGGAAACCTTAAGTAAACCGTTCTTCCGCATCCTTGGGCAAATTTGTGGAGCAAGGGAATCCGCCAAGTGCTTAAAAGTGTTAGCCGAAAATCGTCAGCAGTGGGAAGGAACTCTAGTACTAGGAACTAAAGCAGGTCCTTTCAGTAAGTAAGTAAATTACTCTAAACTTGTTTTTTTATTAATCAGGCGATTGTGGAGTATCATCAATGGTAAGGTGTGTATTTAACGGCCAGACCACTCAGACACCCAGGGAGCGCCGCGCGCGTTGAAGCACCTAAAGATTTGTGATTTCAAATCATCGATATTGCGTTTTATATAGCCTCTCTCAACTTGACTCAGTTCAGTGTTGACAAATGTTCGTGGAGTTGAACTCTTGAGGACAATTTAAAACAAGTTCAAAAATTATAAAGAGAAGAAAAATTTCGTCTTCGCAAGTTCACGTCCTCCATAAAACATAAAAAGTCGCGTTAGAAAGTTTCATGTCGTAATTGTGCAGTGGACGTCAAGGAGGTATAGCAAAGAGTGTGATTACGTGTACGGCTTTTTTCGGGTCGTTTTTACCGCAGTCTACGTGGCTCCTTGAATTCGATTTTATTGAAGCAAATCGACTGACAACAGTTCAACATGTAAAAGATTCAAACAATGAAACAACACTAGAATTACGTATCTCGCAATAACCCTCGCGAAACTCGGTTTTAACAATTTGGTAACATCCTTTTTTTGTAAAAGAGGCGAGAACTCAGCGAGAAAAGAGGAACGATCCTTTGCCTTTATAACTAGAAGCTACTCGACGATTATGTATATAACGTGATTTTTCTTTTAAATGTCTTTTTTTATTCTTGCACTAACCGTGTTTAAAACGATAAGTAAACTATCTTAACAAAAAAGATGAGGAGAGGAAGAAGGCAGATAGAAGCAAACTGAGGATGCAGCTTGCACAAAAAGGTCTAGATCATTGAATCAGATCTTAGTTGAGTTAATTACATTAGAATGCAAAAGCACCCCTCGGATGATTACGCTATTGTTATAAACTGATTAGGTGATATCTGGGATTCCTTAGAGTGAAATGGATCTAACGAAAAGGTGAGACTAGCCTCCAACTTCAATGGCACGAGCAGTTTTTAGTTCAGTCTTGTGTGGCGTGTATTACTGCTCTAGCCGATTGTCAGTCTTGGAATACAAGCAACATGAAGGGCAAAAAAAAACAATAAAAAATCGCCTTCAATTTGTAGCATAGTCTGAATCGGTCGTGAGGTTTGATTGTGTTAAACATACCGAATCCGTCATTTAGACTAATTAGGGTGTTTCACAGTCTCAAAATAACAGTGTAGCTATGGAAACTCTAAGGCCGCAGCCCCAGAGCTATAGTCCGTTTATTAAAGTGCAGTCAAGTTTAGGGAAGGATTTCTCATAATGGCGATTATTCAAAAGTAATGACAAAATTTCTCATTTGAGAGCCTCCGAATACGTCCCCTGAACGCAAAGGCTACTACTTTCTCGGCAATATGTAACTGTAGGACTGCGCCAAAAGCAAACCTTAGAAGGTAGTGTGTAACCAGATTACCGAACAGGTTATATTTCCCTGACTAGCCTGTTCCAGGCGTTCAGATACACTCTTCTTTTTTTATAAGAATATATTTTATAAGAATATCGAGGCTGAAATTTGCGAAATTTTAAGAACATTTTAAGAATATAGCCGAGGCTGACATTTTGAAAAGGATAGATATAGTTTTGTGTGTTGAAACATCTGTAAATACAATACAATTTTATGTTTTTAACTTAACCGTATAAAATTATTCCTTTCTCTGAACGGCGAAACTAGCAAACAAAACGAAAAAACCTGCACTAGCTATATGTTCAACGCTAATGACAGTTCGATGAACGGTACATGTAATACATATACATATACCCCAATAAATTCTGAAACGGAAATGTCATACCCTATAATTTAAGAATAATACAAGAATATTTTCAGCCTAAAATCGGCAGAAAAATAAGAATATTCAGCCTGGGCCGGAAAAACAATATTCTTATAAAAAAAAAAAGAGTGTAGTGGGGAGCGGTGTTAAGTAAAAAGGAGCGCGAAAAAATAAAAGCGAGGGAGGAGCAGGAGCTGGAACAGGCTATACCCTCTCAAGTCAACGATCGTGCTGTCTAAGGCTGCCAAATGTTAATTGCCTTTATTGTGTTTGTTTGTGCGTTTGTTTGAGTAACAAGAACAAAAAAATCTAGCCTGAGACCAGGCTCCGCAGTGTGAGAAAAAGGCAAAAAAGGGGTCAAATGGAAAAAATATCGGCGACCGAAGCGAGCCAAGCGGTGGCCTGGGGATGGGGAAAGGGCGGCGAATCCGCCATTCAGACTAATTCAGGTTGTCTCATAAACAGTCTCAAAATAACAGTGTAGCTATCGAAACTGTAAGGCCTGGGTTAACTGCAGCCCCAGAGCTACAGTCCGTTCATTAAAGTGTAATCACGTTTAAGGAAAACTTTCATCTTTTCCCCTCCTCAGACTACACCTCTCGGCTCGCTTCGCTCGCCGATTTGTTTCCTTTTCCCCCCAATGCGGAGCCTGGTCCCAGGCTAAAAAAAATCTGAGGCGCTCCTTTGTTTGCTCGGTACAGTGACGTGAAGTATTAAAACACTTGGCGACTCGTCACAATGATTTTCAAATAATCGGTTGCGATCCGGTCCAAATGCTGAATATTTTAACTAAAAATGTTGTAGATTCATCTTGTAGGCTCCGCGATTAAGGGTGCGCTAGATCGATCGTATGCCGGAATAAGAATACGCAAAGGTTTTGTTCAAATCACTGGTACCGTGATTTTTGGACCATTTGAACTCTACATGCGCCGGAATATTTTATTTCAAGGCCCGCTAAACAAATGACTTCTAGAGTTTATTCCGCTATTTGTTCTTATTCCGGAATACTACCCCCAGTCAATCGAACACGCCTTAAGCATGATTGCAAAAAGGGATATAACGCCGAACTACCGGGTAAGTTATGAATCGATCGCGTTGCATTGTGTCCTGCTTCACGTCAGGCATGAGAGGATAGTTGGACAATTTATCAGCACTTGCCATTATCCCGGGCTGCTGACGGCATTCAAACGCCTGTTCGTTCAATGTTAATAGCCTGCGAGCATGGGCGTGTATCAACAGTGTTTAAAAACTAGGTACTCGAGGGAACGACGTGAAGCCTTAAGTGTCGGTTCTTCATAAGTCTGGTGACGTTAATCACAGATATGCGTGTTAAGGTTGAATTTTAAGAGTTTAAGCCCGATGAATACACGAGAAAGATGTTTTTTTCAGTCAGTGACACAGGGAGCACGAAAGGGAAAAAATCCTAGTACTCCTAACAGGAGTAACCTATGACCTTCTTGTCACCAGTCCAGATGCTCTACCACTGAGCTACAGGAGACTCGTGGGAGCTAGGGGCACTAAAATAGGTTCACTGAGCATGAGAAAAAAACCAACATCCCAATCCTAGCAGTACAGTGCCGGATGTTGGTCCCATAAACCTAGCTTAGTGGCTTTAGCTCCTACGAATTTCCTGTGGTAGAGCATTTGGACTAGCAACCAGAAGGTCATAAACCTTTCCGACATGAAAATTTCGATACAATAGATAAAGCCTTGAAAACATACAGGGTGGGTGAAACGGCTCTACGACCCTCAATTTTAATTCGTATAGCTTGCAGCTCTTCTACCGAGACGTTCTCAGTGATTGTCAAAGTGAGTTCTTGTGGAATAATCATGAGATCAGTATGATGTTGGTAACCGAACCAAACGAGGTTGGTATAATGCTGGAGAAAAGACCATGCCAAACATTCTAGACATGGAAGGAAAGTTCTTGGCGTTTACCGGAATTCAAGAAGAAGTACACTAAAAAATTAACAAAACCTTTCCGCGCTACAGAGGCTTGTGCGATACCATCCCAAAGTATTGGAGGAAAGTTTTTAGCTGTGATCGCGAAAGTGATTTGGTAGTTACAGAACAGGAGTCAGTTCAGCCATTTAGGAATTTACCTCCGACTTGCCGGCAAGCCCGCTCGTTTAATGTATCCAAACAAATCTTTCCAAATACCAGTACATCAGAAGCTCGTCTTATTAACGTTGGATTCACAGATCAAACAGTTGCGGCGTTTTAAGTTTTTTCTATTCAAAGTCACGAATAAAAATAACAGCTTTTTGTGTTTCAGTCGGTTTTAAATAAACATTCAAATCCTGTACACTCGCGACAAAAGATTCCGTCAGTACCAATTATTGACAAGCTACGGGTTTCAAGTGTGTGGATTGAAACAGACCTTAGAACACCTGTTTGTAGAATGTCGTAATCAGCATGTTCAGTCCTTCTGGAACCTTGTTGTCTCTTGGTGGAACGGCAGTAACTCGCCCATAGTGTCTTTGACCAATAAATTAAAAGGTAACGGATATGCATGACCCTGAGAAACGGTCCTTCCGTACGTTCAAAATTTGCCTGATAGTGGCTAGTTTTTATATCTACTCCGCGAACAAAGAAAGCGACCCGTATACTGAGTTTCTTAGCCTTTTTTTCTGAAAAACAAATCAATTATCTATAGAGCCTTAATGAGTTCGAGAATCTTTTAGCCTTTAGCCGCATACAATTTTGGTTAATTCAGTTCATATTTCTTAGTGTTTATTAAGTTAGATTTTTATGGTAATATCCCGTTTACGCCATTGTTTTATCTTTTCTTTGACCTTGTTACCCATCTTTTATCTTAGTTTGTGTCTCCAGGCTCTCTCTCTCCGTTTATTGTATTGCACTTAAGATTCATGATCAATGAAAAATTTTAACAAACAGCTCAGTGTAAGAGCACCTGGACTAGTAGCCAGAAGGTGAGTGGGTTTGACTCCAGTACCTGGAGTTTTTCTTCCGAGCCGCCCGGTGTCACAGACTAAATCCTGACAACTTTCGCAAGTTAAAGATAATTTGAATCTAGGACTGTAGTGGCAGTTTCAGAAATTTATGTTGGCTGAGCATGCCTTATTGAATTCACGTACACACTGGTAAGATTTTGAAGATCAGAGGCAAGAAATGGTCTCTTCTTTTTAATTTCCCAGCAGCCAAATTATGGAACACCCTAACAGCGTACAACCTTCAGATCAACAAGGATACCCCCTTGGTGCATACCCTGCTGTAACTCAGCAACCAGCCCCCTATATACAACCGTCTCACCACACTACTGTGGTTTTGAATCAGCAACCAGTGGTCATACAAAAGGCTCAACGAAGTTGGAGTTCTGGGCTATGTGACTGCTTTCAAGACTGTGGCTCTCGTAAGTATTTTCCCAAAGGCACTTAACTTAAAGAGGCTATGTCACGCTATTTGCCTATCTTTTTAAAAACGTTTTCCGCTAAAACTAACTTGTCTTCGCATCAATAATCGAATTCCAAAAATAATGGTCCAGTTTTGTTATTTAAGACTATAATTAGGCATTCAAACTGCTTCCTTTCGTTTGTTAATTCGGATGGCAAGGATTGACATGGATTGAAACTTGAAAGAGTTAGACGACATTTTTCAAGTTATGCCCGCAAACTCACCAAAGAAATCATTATGGTTTATAGTGCTTCCGGATGAATTTGTTTGATATCTTGTTGATAAGTCTACAGCAGCGCGATAGCATATCAGTTGTGTATGGGTAAAAGCATGAAGTAATGATTTCAGCACCGAGAATTGACCTACAATAGCAACATTCTCCTGACACAGCCTTTTTAAGTAGAGCGACTTTCGTATGGCGCAGAAAAATGGTTTCGGTAAGTGTTTCGTTATTTGTTTTATCAGCCAATGAATGAAAAGACGAAAACATGGACTCTTCGTTTTCCCGCCAAAGAAAACCTTAATATGGAGAAGGCGTCATTCGATTGGCCAATCGTGTTACAGTATGACGTCAAAACGAAGTATCGATTGATTTCTAGAAAGTTTTCGGGCGTGAAATTTTTTCACCCCAACGTTCGCTTAACCAACCAAAAGCCACGCGCCTTTGTTTCTGTTCTATAAACCAATCAAATCGCTCTATTTCCGTTCGTTTGTTGTTTCTGTTTTGTTCGCGCGTTTTCATTTTAAGGTCATACGAAAATCGCTTTTATATCATAGAGGAACTAATTATCATTTTGTGTTGTCGTTTTTGAGTTTTTTTTTTGTTGCTCCCATTAGTTTTTCTCAGGCAAGAAAATTTTGCCTAATATTTTTTTTATACTTGGGTTAAACTTTACCATCCTTCGAGCAACCGTGCCCAGCTCTGAAAAGTCCTAAGTCGAGAGGGAGAGAAATACGAATTCACGTAAGACCATGATTTGATATATTTCCCCATCTTTGTTTGTAAATGGGTTGTTTACGTTGCCTTGATATATTTCCCCGTCATCTTTGTTTGTGTTTCCATTGTTGTTGATGGGGTGGTTCTGCCAGAGGTTCTCACTTGTTGCCTGCTGCATGGTTGGAGTTAAAGTACTATATAATGTATAGATTTAGCCAGGGCTAAAAGTTTCGTCCAAAAAATTGGTTTAGTAACAAAGGCCAAGTAATAAAATTGTTGCATTGCAAGTTGAAAAGCATTGTTGCCCGTATTACCACCTTCGCTCTCAACTTGTCACGAAAAAATGTCAATTGCAATGTTGCAAGTTGCGGCAACATGTTGCGCAAAGTAGACCCGAGTTCTACTTTTTGCAACAAACTCTCAATTTTTAACTTGCCATGCGTCACAACGCTTGTGATTGGTCGATTTTCCAGCCCTGGGAAGATGGAGAGTAAACGCACGCGCTTGACGTGCGGAGGGCAAATTTAGAGTTCTAGACAGGAAGTAAACATGGCGAAGGTTGTGGAAGTTGAACATGTTGAAAGCCAAGATTGTGAATTTATAAGTGAAAAAAATGTCAGAGGCCCAAAGAAAAGATTTATGCGCATACGGTTACGTGACAACCAAAATTTCTTGGATGCATAGATAACCGAATTTCCTTACCTATGGCGCTCCGCTGTTTGTTTGCTCCGACGTTTGTTTGGTGGGGGACAAAAACTTGCCCCCCACCAAACAAACGTCTGTAAATTTCCGCAGCTTTGAGGAGGTATATCTTCGCTCGCTTATAAGACTGATGTATCACTTTCAAACTTGGGAGGGTTGTACTACATTTAAAATGCTCTTTTCAATGGTTTCGGCGGGTTTTCCGTAACCGATGATGTGTGTCTTAAAGCTTCTTAAGTTGAAAAAACCGTGGAAAGGTCTATTCTATTCCTTTACCGACAGCTACCGACCCGTCCTTCTAAAAAGTTCTATTCCAATGGACAAATTTTTGCTGTATTTTCGTGGAAACTACCCAAAATGAAGTTTGGCTACTATTTTTTTAATCTTCATAAAATGTGCAGGTAATATTCTTATTTTCCATTTTTAAGAAACCAATAGTCAACACAGCAATACAGGAAACGTGATTCATCAACCTTTTTAATCAACTGAATACATTCTTTTCGCATTTGCAGGGCTCCCTTTGTAATGATTACTGTGTGGTTAATTGTTGCGGGCCATGTGTTCTCTGTCAGTTGGCTCGTGAGCTCAAATCCTTGCAACGTTGAATTGCTAACCAGCTGAGAACGACGCGAAATCATTGTTTCGGGACAGGGACAAGCACAGGTAGCCCAAGCTCGAAATATGAGCATCGGCGAGCATCGGCATTGTAGGGTAACATTCAAAATATAAGGATTTGTATGGGAAAAAAACCTATCGTTTCCGTAACCTACGAAAATGAAAGGATTTCAATAAAAAGCAGCTTACCTTCCTGAAAATGTGTGTTACGTCTCTCCTGTGCGGTCCACGGGCCGATTTATGGCCGTTTTATGGGTTTTTATGTAAAGATGGCATACTGTAGCATGTGTGAATAAAATGCAATTAATAAAGGAAATTGTTTGTTTAAATCAGTTTATATATAGGAGAAAACACGTACGCACCTTTTATCGTCCATAATCTGACTCGAGACCAGGCAGAACAGAAACTCAGTAAGAGCGCTCATTAAGTTTCACCACAGGAACTCTGACTCCAATAAGAGACATTAAAAACAAAGTTTCTCACAAAAAACGCGTAACAGAGACGAACAAGAAAGCTGTTAACGCAGAGCACGACAGTACTCTAGTTTTTACACTAGATAAGGCACCAGACACGAATGTTTTTAAACAGCAAGTACAAAACATTCAGCAGCAATTCAAACTTATGCAAGAGATGATGTCAAATCTTAAGAAAGCCAGCAATAAAGATGTTTCAACTTATCCAGGTGTTCTTACTGAGTCCTTTAATGGAAAAGAGAGTGTAAATGACATCACAACCAGCTTTATTAACTTAGTATATGTTATCTCTCGCCTTAAGCTTTTCTGATTGGCTAGTTTCATTTCCTTAGACAACGCCTATTTTTACGTAGAAAACGCATGGTCTCTTAACTTTAGCTTTAGTTGGATTTCGTCGTCTTCATGTGTACATCCTTGAACTCTATTTGGATAGTTCATTTCTTGGTCCTTAGAGACAAGCGGGAACCGATATGTAAGTACATTTTATCTTCTGTAGTTTTGTCTATCTGGCGACTCATAAAGTATATTCCTGCAAGAAGTTATTGTAATATTCAGTATCTCGCACCATTACGTGATTACGCCTTTTGAGTTTCAAGTATGTTTTTACTTTTTAGTTCGGCGTGGGAATCTCATTTCTTTTAGTTTATTTAGTTTTCACGCTTTTGCAAACGTAGTCCGTTCTCAGATTTGTTTTGTTAGTTTCTTAGTATAGTATTATTCGCAGGAAACAACCATTATTGTTTTGGGAAGGTTTCTTTTCTCCTGCAAACCCAAATTTAAGTTGATTTTATTCCTTTTATGAAGTATATTTAGTCTAATATTCTAGTTGGTAAAATTTATTATTCCTGTATTTCAATATATATATTTCTTTTGTCTTATTACGCGTTTTTGGCAAGGTGTTTATACCGGAACAGCCTACGAAAATGAAAATATGATTGGAATGTTAGCAAATTTTTATCGGTTAGCCAAACTATAATTGTAATTGTACCTTTAGCTCTTAGTAATTATTTGTTACGTTGCATTATATTTCAGTTTACGGTTCGATTATCGTCAATAAAATCACCATCAAAGACTAGCTCCTAGTTTCGTGATCATAGTTGATTCATGGAACACTATAAAATACTTGAATAATAAACGCAAACATCGAAAGAAATTAGCTAAAAAAAGTATTACTAAGAGAGATGAGGAGATCAAAAGCACTTATATTAGAAACCTCTCCAATTGCAACTTGATAACTGATCAGATAAACCTATTATCTAAAGGCTTGCGTTTCATCCCATCTCCACATACTAACACTGTTAGTGTTAGAAAACAAATTCTACGCGATTTCAACCAATTCGCGAGACGAATGCGTCTCCGATATATCTACCACGGTAGAGGAAAGATAGAACACCCTTTCTATGTTAAAACTAACTGGGAACCACCAGTTCAACGATCAGTTACTCTTGAGAAATATCTTGAGGAAACAAAAATTAAACTCTCCATGAAACTCTCAGAAATTGAGATAACGAAACCTAAAGCTAACATACCTAAATCAGAACGCAAAGCTATTAGACAACTTAAAGAAAACTCAGAACTAAATATCAAGAAGGCAGACAAAGGAACCACCACTGTCATAATGAACAAAACGGACAAGATTAAAGAGGGCATGACACTAATCGAGGTCAAAGAACACTACAGACCCCTCGAGGAACCAATGGTGGAGGAAACCTCTAAGAAAGTCCGAAAAATTATCACAGGACTCTACCAAAAGAAACACATTGATGAAATGACATTTAATGGTTATCTCGAACACCGAACCCTCCACGCATTCCAGTTTTTTACACTCTTACAAAAACACACAAGGTCAACTTGTCAAGTCGACCAATAATCTCTGGATGCGACTCCCCTACTGAGAAAATTTCAGCTTTTGTTGATAGTCTTCTTCAACCAATAATGAAAGAACAGCAGTCATACATTAAAGATACAACTTCATTGAAGGAACGAGAGTTCCACAAAATGCAATCCTTGTCTCAATGGATGTTACAAGCTTATATACAAATACATGTATAGCAGCGTGACCAGGAGCCTAAATCCTGACAACTTTCTCAAGTTAAAGATAGTTTGAATTTAGGACTGTAGTGGCAGTTTCAGAATTTTACGTTGGCTGCCTTATTGAACTTACGTACACACTGGTACTAACAGTTTCTGTATGAAAAGGCCCTCTATCTTCTTTTTAATTTCCCAGCAGCCAAATTATGGAACACCCTAACAGCGTACAACCTTCAGATCAACAAGGATACCCCCTTGGTGCATACCCTGCCATAACTCAGCAACCAGCCCCCTATATACAACAGTCTCACCACACTACTGTGGTTTTGAATCAGCAACCAGTGGTCATACAAAAGGCTCAACGAAATTGGAGTTCTGGACTATGTGACTGCTTTCAAGACTGTGGCTCTCGTAAGTATTTTCCCAAAGGCACTTAACTTAAAGGGGCTATGTCACGCTATTTGCCTATCCTTTTAAAAACGTTTTAAGCTAAAACTAACTTGTCTTCGCATCAATAATCGAATTCCATAAATAATGGTCCAGTTTTGTTATTTAAGACTATAATTAGGCATTCAAACTGCTTCCTTTCGTTTGTTACTTCGGATGGCAAGGATTGACATGGATTGAAACTTGAAAGGGTAAAAGCATGAAGTAATGACTTCAGCAAGGAGAATTGACCTACGACAGCAATATTCTCCTGACACAGCCTCTTTAAATAGAGCGACTCTCGTATGGCCTAGAAAAATGGTTTCGGTAAGTGTTTCGTTATTTGTTTTATCAGCCAATGAATGAAAAGATGAAAACATGGACTCTTCGTTTTCCCGCCAAAGAAAACCCTAATATGGAGAAGGCATTGTTCGATTGACCAATCGTGTTGCAGTATGACGTCAAAACGAAGTATCGATTGATTTCTAGAAAGTTCTCGGGCATAAAATTTTTTCACCCGAACGTTCGCTTAATCAACCAAAAGCCACGCGCGTTTGTTTCCGTTCTATAAACCAATCAAATCGCTCTATTTCTGTTCGTTTGTTGTTTCTGTTTTGTTCGCGCGTTTTCATTTTAAGGTCATACGAAAATCGCTTTTATATCATAGAGGAACTAATTATCATTTTGTGTTGTCGTTACAAGATCTCAGAGCCAAGAATTAACATTTTTTGATTTTTTTTTGCTCCCATTAGTTTTTCTTAGGCAAGAAAATTTTGCCTAATATTTGTCTTATCCTTGGGTTAAACTTAACCATCCTTCGAGGAACCGTGCCCAGCTCTGAAAAGTCCTAAGTCGAGAGGGAGAGAAATACTAATTCACGTTTAACCCCCGGTAAAGTGTTTACGTCTTGATATATTTCCCCGTCATCTTTGTTTGTGTTTCAAGTGTTGATGTGTTGGTTCTGTGCTTGTTCCCTGCTGAGTGATGTTGCGTCCAAGTTGGGTGAATCATGTTGGTATACCTGCTGCTGCCCTGGTTCATTGTTGGGTCTCAGAATCAAGCTGAGGGTGGAAGAAAATATTCAGGTATGAAAGCAGAGGTTCTCACTTCTCAGTCCCGACAGCCTCCTACTGGGGAGTAGGTTGAAGTTAAGTACTATATAACATATAGATTTAGCCAAAGCTAAAAGCGAACCTTTCGTTAAAACACTTATGAACAAAAAATAAAATCGTGTTTAGTAACAAAGGCCAAGTAATACGGGCAACATTTTCGCTCAACTTGTCGCGCAACGTTGTGGCATTGCAAGTTGAAAAGCGTTGTTGCCCGTATTACCACCCTCGCTCTCAACTTGTCACGAAACAAATTTCAATTGCAATGTTGCAAGTTGCGGCAACATGTTGCGCAAAGTATACCCGAGTTCTACTTTTTGCAACAAACTCTCAATTTTTAACTTGCCATGCGTCACAACGCTTGTGATTGGTCGATTTTACAGCCCCGGGAAGATGGAAAGTAAACGCGCCCGCTTGACGCGCGGAGGGCAAATTTAGAGTTCTAGACAGGAAGTAAACATGGCGGAGGTTGTGGAAGTTGAACATGATGAAAGCCAAGATTGTGAATTTATAAGTGAAAAAAATGTCAGAGGCCCAAAGAAAAGATTTGTGTGCATACGGTCACGTGACTACACCAATAGCCAACACAGCAATACAGGAAACGTGATTCATCAACCTTTTTAATCAACTGAATACATTCTTTTCGCGTTTGCAGGGCTCCCTTTGTAATGATTACTGTGTCGTTAATTGTTGCGGGCCATGTGTTCTCTGTCAGTTGGCTCGTGAGCTCAAATACTTGCAACGTTGAATTGCTAACCAGCTGACAACGACGCGAAATCATTGTTTTGGGACAGGGACAAGAAGCTTAAATTTTGACAGTACTGTTACGATGTGAAAATGGCATACTGTAGCATATATGAATAAAATGGAATTAATAAAAGAAATTGTCTGTTTAAATCAGTTTATATATTGGGGAAAACATGTACGCATCTTTTATGGTCCATAATCTGACTCGAGATCTCGGCCTCTATAAGACGGGACCGGGTGGCTTGGGGGTTGACTCATCAGAGGTTCATGGGATATGGAGTTTCTCGAAAATTAGAAAGTTATCGTATCCCTAGAGCAAAAATAAGAAACGTCCATCTTTTCTTACAAGAAAGAGATGCTCTCAAAGCCCGTGAATAAAGCTCACTTTCTCGCGAAGCGTCCCCAGTGACATGTAGAGATGACTGGATCGACGTGAGAGTCAGCTGTATAATTCGCAGGGTAATAAGCTCATGGCATTATATATATCATGTAGTTAAACCGTCTCCGGCTACTATTACATACAGTGGACTCCCGATAACTCGAACCTTCAAGGGAAATCGAAAAAAGGTTCGAGTTATCGGGAGTTCGAGTTACCGGGAGTTCGAGAAAATAGCCGAGAGTAAGATAAAAACAGTTTTTACTGCACAGCTGTGAACATTTTAATCACATTTAATTGTAGAAATGTCAAGTAAAGATTAAAAGATACTTTTAGATTGTAAATCAGAACGTAACGTCACAAAACATAGCCTAAACAGAGCATGCATTTTACTGTTTTGAGAAGAAAAGCTGCTTCACGTTAGCCTGTGACAATCAACATTAGCCTCCACTAGTAAACTACACTCCCACAACACGTCAATAGGAAATCCAAAAATTCAATGTTTCGGACGCCAGTAGACGGCTTTTTTCCCGACTTTTTAAGGACTGAAAACATGGTTCGAGTTATCGAGGGTAAAATTATATAGAAAATGACCTGAAGGAAAACGAAAATTGGTTCGAGTTAGCGGGAGTTAGAGTTATCGAGGGTTCGAGTTACCGAAGGTAAAATTACAGTGAATGTATGACGGAAATCCGGGGGAAATCTATTTTGGTTCGAGTTATCGAGGGTTCGATTTATCGGGAGTCGACCGTACTTCTATCGTCCAGTAAATCTTTGCTAACGCGGAGTCCTTAATTATAACCTCGCTCGCTTATTTTCAAAGTTAATTAAGTTATTTTCAGTGTACTGATTTTACAACAGTCATTCGGTGCCGGAAGCGGCTTCTTTGCTAACAAATCAAACAAAAATACCTTTCTCTTATTATTTGGTACTCCTTATTGTAATGTAATCTAAATTATCTCTAGGTTACCATTAATTTTATATGTTGATTTTGAAAATTCAATAGATACTATACATTAATTAATATTAATTAATTAGTTAATTGCTAACCTCTGATACCAAAATAGTTAAATGCTTTGTAACAGGGTTTGTAATTAATAACGCTATAATCAGAGGGGGACTGCTTAGTAAAAGCCTGTAAAGGTTTCTTTCAGATCCTCCTCTATCTATTTTTATGATTTTTTAAACTGCTGTAACTTTTATTTGACCGAAACGGAAATAAAGTTACTTACTTACTCTCCTTAGGACAAGACCTAGATTCATCATAATTATGATCACTTTTGGAGCACCCCCCAAGTTACATCAGATAGCCTGTCCCAGGAAGGTCAGACAGTGGGGACGGCGGGAAAATACAGCGAGGGGTGGGGCCGGGGGTAGGGAGAGAGGACCCTCCCCTCTCCCTCTTTATTTTTTCCGCCCCACTAGCTCCCCATGCATTTTACACCACCGCTCCACTATCCGAACGCCTGAAACAGGCTATAAATCACAAAACCCGTGAACACCTAGCTGAGGTACTTCGGGACTTTGTTCTAACACCCAAGCTGCTTGTAGTTTAGTGGAGTTGATAACGGCCTGACTTACATGTCCGTACTCTTAAGATACCGTAAATTCTCCAAGCCCCCCTCTCAAATAAGCTCCCTCCCTCTAATCACTGAGCCGCCCTTTTCTGGAGAAGAAAGTCCCGCAGTTTACCTGTAGTGCCCAGAATTTTTGGCCTTATTTTTAAAGTTAATCCCTTTATATAGACCCCAGTACCTCCCGTCCTCCTTAAAGTAAACTTAGTCCCAGTCCTCCTAGTCTGCAATTATGGACGCCTGTTAGTAATTATCCGCATCAACTTGAATGAAAATGTTCGTCTTAGCTGAGATGAAGGACACTGTTCGAATAAAACCATGGCATTTTGGAGTAGATCTACGAGAAGCTATCGCCAATAAGTTGAATAAAAAGCTTGCTAACAAGGTAAGCCGATATAGGGGTGCTTGGTGCTACTGAAACATCAAGCTCATCACCTTTCATGTGTATTGTCGTCAGGTTGTCCACAACGTTGGTTTGTGTATCGTTTTACACGATATCACCTCCATTGGTGATTCTTATCTTTTTCCTGGAGATGGATCTTCGCATACTCCAGGTAAGTATGGCTGTAAGAAATTTGCAAATTGAAAGTTAAATTTGCAAGATCAGATCGTAAGAACATTGAATATTTGAATCTGCGCAAAGGATCTGAGGGTAGATTTGCTGATGATGAACATATCACTTCCGTTCTAGTTAAGTTTCGCTTTGTTGTGTTTCGTCCATTTATTGATGAAGTCCTAACTGGTAGAATTCGTAGCTGTAACCATGAAGGTGTTCAAGGTACTGTGCTGTCATAAAATCAATTTATTCCAAAGCTAAGGCCATGTTGTGATGTACTAGGTAGCCTGCAGGCAGGCTCACGTGTGCAAGTTCGGGGAAAATTTCTGGTGGCAGAGCCATTGCCTGCGTTGCAGACGCTCTAAACTATACAAATGGTTTAGACGAGTGCAAGAGCCGCCTGCAATGCAGGCTACAGAGCCGGAAAACAAGTGAGCTGGCTCGCAGGCTATGTGTTAGGGAGGTCTTCCAATGGGGGATACGCTGTGGCCTTGTAGGTTAGGAAAAATGCTGCTGTTGCATTTTAGCTTGAACGAAAATATTGCTGTTGGTCAGCTGCCTCCTCCACAGGCTTTCCCAAGGCTAAGTGGGGATTGGGGAACTCGCGAGCACGCCAGAAGCACGAGAAAGGGATGATGGGAACGAGCGTAGTCTAGCGCAAGAGGGGAGTGATCCATCAATCCCTTCGTCCCCGCTTTCCTTAATAATTAACTCAAATATCCCCCAGTGATCGCGAGCGACTGGGGACGAGGCAGGTCGGTCTGCATAAATTTCTCAAATTTAGAATTTACGGTAGTTATAGCGCCTGGAAAGAATTAATATATTGTTATTAAACTTTCTCCCTGGAGGGACCATTCTTCAATAATACCAACAGTGGAAAACAATTTAAAGAAAATAACAGAAAAAGTCTGGAAATAATGGCAGAGAGATTGTTATTTCGCTGCCAAATACAAAACAGCCAAAATGTAAAAGACATCAGATGTTTCTTTCACTACTCAAAAAATAGATTGTCACTGTCAGAATTCTTTCCTCCTTTTCTGTTGATTGTCAGTGATTTCTCAGAAGATTGTTGCCAGTTTCCAGGACCGTGTGTCCAGTCACTTCCACCCCTTGGAAGGCCTCACTAGGTTGATATGTGACACATGGCCTGCATCCATGAGCAAAGATGAGAGCATACTGTATGATGATGAAATAAGATGGACAATCGTACATCTTTCTTTATTTACCATGGACACTCTTGATATTGCTGATCCTTGTAGTTTGTTCATGTGTCACATATGAATCTTCATTGGCTTTGCCCTCTATGAGCCTCTCTGCAGCTGGATACAGTGCTGCTCACAGGGTGTTTTGGAGGTCACAGGTCTAAATTCTGTTAGGGAGCCAAGATTTTTTCTGTCTCATTCACCACCCAGCTTAAAAATTCGCCACCTTACTTTTGTATTTATCAGTCTTTAATTTGATAAAAATTAATATTAGATTGTTATACCCAAAACTGAACTCTTTCCTTTTAACTGATAATGGCTTCAATTACCTACTTCAGTTCCTCAACCTCAGTGATTTTTTTTCACTCACTGTATTCTTCTTTCTAATCTGCACTCTATATGGTAAAAGTATTTTTGTACATGTAGCTAGTACATTGAAATTAGAACATTAAACAAAAACATTTTGAAACACCAATAAAATCAAGGCTGTGCTCTAAGGAAAATTGAAGGGAGCCCAGTGCTCCGAATCTGTAAAATCTAGGGTGCATGCCCAGCATATGATTTGTATGAAAAATCTGCGATTTTCTAGTCGCCGAAGGGCAAAAGTTAGGCGCCAGGGGCGACCGGGCTCTGCTAGACCACAGCCCTGAAAATGAATGTTTTTCTTCTTTCACAGTATCTATGGAATTCTTCGATGATATTATTATCCCTTATGAGTATCTTCAGCAGCCTTCCAAGTTGTATCCTTTAATAATAATAAAAAAAAATTTCAGTTCCCTTTAATGTAATGTGGCAAGATGATTTGACATGAGATTGAAGGTCACACATCCCTTCATTTCCTTAAGTACTTCTAGTATTCATATATATATTACAGTACATTATATTTTCTTTTATCCCTACTACTGACACTGTTAAACACTTTTTTCTTTTCTACACTCTTTTAATACTTATGTATTGATATTTTCACGTTGTAAAACATACTTTGTTAGCTTTTGCACTGTTCTTTCCTTCCTTCCTTTTTTTTCGTGGGTGATGATAAATTCATTGAAAAAATATTTTTATGTTAACAGGATATATTAAAAGAAGACTTGACTCTGCAGTCACAGAACATTAATAATTAATATTCTGTGACTGCAGAACAAGTTTATACAGTGTATAGGGAAGACACTGAAGTGTAGAGTGTATACTGCAGCTGATTTGTTTCTCTTTAACCACACACTCAGTGATGAGGATGAACAGTTGTGGGTTTGGGAATATACAACAGATGAAGGAGGACATGACTTGTTCATGGATATTAATGAAGAGATTAGATTCAGAGTTGTAGATGAATTATTTACTGATCTCAGTCCTGCAGGGCCTGAGATGACTGGTGACATGAAAAATACTGATGAGGTTGACAGTAAAAGGTCCCCATACACTATTACTGTAAGTCCTGTCATTGTTTTCATAATTTGTATAGGTAACAGCATGGTTTGTAGTGAAATTTGGCATAAATACCACGAGTGATATTTCAAAAGTGAAATTTGAGACAATTTTGAAATATCATGAGTGGCATTTATGCCAAATAACACGTACAAATCATGCTATTATTTGTTTATACTACTACCCGCAAAAGGTTTGTAATTTTCACATGTAGGTATTTCAAATTAAGCTGAAATACCACTGCTCTAAGCCTGCAATCAAATTGTAGAAATTTCTCATGTAGTAGTTTAAACAGTGGAACTCCCTTAATAAAGTCACCAAAGGGTAAAAAACTTTGGCTGTATTAACGGGGTGGCTGTATTACAGGGGCAGGGTCAAATTTCATGACTAAAAGGCTGTAATGACAAATACACCCTCCATCGCATTCGCACTTCTAAGTTGTGCAACTGTTCTCTTTAATAAACAACTGGAATGTAAATATCATGTACAGTAACTGTAAAAATTCCTTTAAACTTTAGTTCAGTTCATAAGACACTTTTAAAAATCGGCTATTAGACCATTGCAAATTCATTGTAAGTGACTTTAGTCTAAAAACAGAACATGAACAAGCTCGGCTTATAAGGTCAATGAAATTGGTATGTCTCAGATATTTTAAGTTTCAAAATTTCTGATGAGTGGCCTTATTGTAAAAGATACTACTGTTTACTAGGATTTTAAAATGGCCATATTAACTGGTTATGGTATTAATAAGGGTTTTTTTAAATAAAAAAAACAGTATTGCCATTTTGCTGGGGCCAAAGAAAAGTGGCTGTAATAACGAGCTGACCATTTTACCAAGGTGGCCGTACGGCGGGGTTCCACTGTAATTAATACTAAATCTTTTCCCCTAATGTGAAGATTTGTGCAATAATAATAATTGGCCTTACATAAAATGTATTGTCAGACATGATTTGTTTTTGGTTATTTTTTGATGAGGTGAAGCTAATCAAAAACTTCAAATCATGAGCCTATATATTGTTAGATTATTCAGAGGCTTCAACAACAACAAACAAAAAGGTATTATTCTAGAAATCACACAGCAATAAATAATATTTCGACTGCAATCAGAGAACCAATCAAGGTGTGGGGAGAGGAAGAACAAAATAACAATCAAGCATAACTAAAATTTATACTTTAAACACTAAAACATTAGTGGTAATAGGTAACCTATGGAGGAGATGTGTTTGTTATGTAGTAGTGTATGTAATATTAATGTCACAAGAGACTTTTACATTCAAGATAATAATAATAATAATGCCACAAGGAAGTTGGAAAAACGTTAATTTTTATTATAATCTTTGTGACAGTATTATAAGGCAACTACAGTTAAGAATACAACATTTTAATCAATTTTTAGGCATCTATAAGTGAACCTGGTCTGGGCCTCAAATCATGGTGGGCTGGCTGATGAAGAAATCAATTTGGAGTCCAGCAACTGGTATACTTCTGGGGCTTGTTGAGTTCTGGTTATCAACAAGAGTTGAAATCTGCTGGAGCAGCATTTTACCGTACATTTGATACTCATGGAGTTCCTGTAATAATCATGGATTTGAAAATGAGCTCTAGCTTTTATGTTCAGGTGTACAGGATGTTTACTCCATAGTTTTGTAACTGCATTTGACACCAGCCATAAGACACTCATCTGCTTCAGCAGGAGAAGGGGGACGTTTCTTGGTGACACAATGTTAATGTGGTTGATCATACTTCTTGGCAACATGATTTTGATGTCATGTGGCTGATCGTACTTCTTGGCCATGTGTTTAGTAGAAGGCTTGTGTAGTACATATTTTGCAGTGGTCACTTCTGGTGTTCATTCACATACATGTAGAACTGTAGATCACCAGCTTCTCATCATTCCATCTTCAAACTTCTAATCCTTTTTTTCAATGGAACAAGGTCTTTTGCAGTAATCCTATGAGTGAATAAAATATAAAATAAATACTCAATCAAATAATTTATTTAAACAGTAACACAACAAGAAGACAATGAGATTTCACACACACTGATCAATAAGATTGATGCCTAGCAGTTTTTTGGGTGGAAAATGGGTGTCATATGCGTACTTTTATTATATAACCACCTATGAAATTCCAGGTTAGCTCTCACGTAAAAGAATATTTTCACATGTAAAACTATGATAATATCTTCACACTTAAAAATATCACTGTTGCCATGGCTACATGAAAAATTGCACCTTTTTCAGCAAATTATTTTAAAGCTAGATAATTTGGTATTGCACCCTTGTTTATATAATAAATTGTTAATAATGGTAGAACATTACATGGCCGCTTGGAGATATGAAATTTCTCTTTTCATGTTTTGTACCTTTCCATGGCTATGTAATATCCTCTATGTATGCTTGGTCTCTCTGACGATCCCTTGAGCAGAACATGGGCCAAAAGGCAGAAAATCATGGAAATGATAATTTTTATTTGCTTCAAAAAAGAATGGTAACATTTACCTGAAGAAAAACCTTAGCCAAGTTACTGAGCCTTGCATTAGAAGAGGCTGAAAATCTTTCCATGCAGTCCACAATAGCTTCTGAGGTGATTTCTGAAAGGAAAAAAGTAATGGTGATAAAAGATTTCCTATATCTCTTTTGGTAACCTGAATCTTGGAAGGGTAAAATTGCTGTCAGTCTCTAAACTACAAAGAGAAAGTTTAGTACCATATTTACATGATTAAACACTGTGGTATTTATTTAAGTTTTAGCTTAAATCTGATTTCTGGCACATAATTGAATAATTTTTTGATCACTAAACCTTTGATGGAGTGAACCTGCTTAAAACGTCAGTTTTAAAATCTCTTTAAGTTGCACTAACTGCCTACTGAAATGGCTACCACAAAATACAAGATTTCATATTCATTTTTTACCTGAACATACACCAGTGGGCTTTTGAAAAGTACCACCTCAACCACAAAGTATGTTACTTACTGGTGATCACTTTGAATATGCCTCTAATGAAGTTTACTGGAAGACATGACAGTGGCAAGAAAGGGTGGCAGTTTGGACCAAAAAAAAAAAAAAAAAAAAAAGAAAAAAAAAAAAAAAAGAAACATTCCTGGATTTGAACCTGAAATCTATGACTAGCTTAGAAATATGGAGGATGTTTCAACACTCCTTTGACTGACCTGGTTGTGTTTGTGGCGTGGTAAGAAACATCAAAGTTGTTATGGCTGACAATACAGTCTCTTCATTGGAGCTAAATTTTTATAAAAGATAAAATAATACAAGAATATTAGTGCTTCGGGTTCATGTCTAAAGCTCACTCACTAACAGTTTGGGCCGAACGGTTTGAATAATACACAAAGGTGTGTAATATATTTCTTTTGCACAACTTAGCCCAGTCAGTCAACAACAAATCTGTTGATAAGTTAATAAAGGAATAATGTACAGTAAGTCACAAAACAAATTCCCCCACATCAAGATAGTCTTTTAACATGTATATATGATCTATATTAACTTGGAGTCTTAGTGGAGTAAGCTTAACTAAATTAGAGTCACAAGAATCAGAAATTACATTTCAATTTTCTTCTAGCCTGTGTACAGCTGCCCCCTCCCTTCAGAAAAAATCAGAGAAGGGGTGTCTGTGATTTACTGTTGCTAATTGTGCATTGTGTTAGGCCACGTGATTTTTTTTGGAATGTGTGGAAAATGATTTGATTGGCTGTTACTCATCGATCACTAAAACAATGTAAATGAGGGATTTTGATTGGCTTTAGGGCCTGACATCAAAACATAGCAGGTAATCAGAAAATCATCACATTCACGAATAACTACACTTTCTGAAGAACTGGCTAGAAAATCTTAGGATTATTTCAGTTCCAGGCCTTATTAAGTACAAATAAATATTTATATATATTTTTTCTCTTTCATGTATGTAATTAAGTACAAGGCGAATAAAGGTATTGTTGTTGTTGTTGTTGTCATGTAGCTATTCAGATCAAGGGATTTTGGAGGAAAGAAAAGAAACTAAAATCTTTATTGACAGGTTTTTTAGCCATCAAATCCTGTCACAAACACCTTCAGAAACATAAAACCACAGGAAATAATAACTCAATAATCATTAGACATACCAGCTTCAAGACCTCTAAATGTAAGAATCAAAGGCAAAAATAAGATTTGTCTGGTCAAAGTTTATGTACTCCATGTACTGGGATGAATAATCTATGCACTAGAAAGAAAAGAAGGAAAACCTCTGTTGTTCAAGCAAACGCTAAGGCCACGTTTCACACTATCACAAGCTTATGAATCATGTCTGACCTGTCAACACTTTATCTCATGACTAATGACTTTCTGTATCCAGTGGGAAGGCTTGCATAAGATCATGGATTTTTTCCTTCAATAAGGGCTTGTAAGAACATTTTTCTTGCTTGGTAAAGAGTAAAGCAATAGTTTTTAAAATGTCTCATTCTCTCAATCACTTGATGGAAATAAGTCGCATGCACCAGCATTTTGAGAACTGGAATGACATGAAACATGAGGCAAAGAAATTTTGGTCAGCAGAAATGATTTCTTTAAAAATTTTGCAAAATTATTCCCATACATTATTAGCACAGTGAATCACAGATGCCACTTCCCCGATTTTTTCTGCGGGAAGGGGGAGGCTGTGTACAAGCTATTTTCTTCTGACTCCTCTTTGACTCTCTCACTAATATTTGCCAGTGAAAACCAGATAATTCTCAGAATTGGAAGTAGAAGCAGAAGAATAAACCAATTGCAATGCATATTCCTGCATATTTTGAATGACTGATTTTGTTTTGTACTTCTCCTTGTGACTCCAACAAACTGCTTTATCACTTAAGATCATAAGCAAGAGAGTCCTTAAGTGAAAACAGAACACTTTTCACTGCATCATGACACTTATGACACTGAAATCCAGTCTTTGAGTCTACATGTACCTTGACATACAATTGACAACCAAGGAAATCCCACCATTGTCAATTATGTGCTGTTTGTTTTCCTTGTCTGTTGATAGAACAGAAAAAAAACTGTGCAAGAAATATATTGCATTGTAATAATATGATATGATATTAAAAACAATAACATGGCTTATTTATCTCAAGTTTGTCTTGAACTTACCTAGACTGCAGTTACACAATCCACCAATTCCAAATTCAACAAACTTCTCATTTCCTTCAGTGAGCATATCTGCAGTATTTAAATGAGCTGTGTCACACAATTTAGGCAAATTATTAAACTACTTGATAAATATTGAAACAAATTACCAAAGAGGGCACTGTCTAGATCGACAAAACTGAGGAGAAATTGAAACAGATTGCTGTGGGTTTATGGTGCTTAATGTTTATGTTACTTGTTACTTAGCAGTTTCTCTGTTGTTTCATTGAGAAGGAAAACAGTGCTGTCAACTCTCCCAGATAATCTGGGAGACTCCGGATTTTGGACCATATCTCCCGGTCTCCAGATTAGAGCATGAAATCGCCCAAATATTCACCGAAGTTTGCCATTCAGTTGTAGACTCGAATTTCTGACCTTAAACTTTTAGATATTTTGCATTGTTTGAGCTTTTTTACTGTTAACATCGAACGTTTCCTCATAAACTTCGGTATGGTTTATAATGCCATTGCAATGTACCAAGAGATACGCAATAATGTGAAACATCGCATATTCGTGACGATCGGGTCAACGAGTATTTTTTGAACAAATGACGTCATATACCATGCGATATGAGGTCATCTATTACCCCTTCCCTATCAATTCTCAATATTTGAAGACGTGGGGTTTGACAGCCCTGGGAAAACCACAGCTTACTCTTGTTTGATGACATGGGGACTCATGACTATAACATCAATAGGGAGTTTTAGCAACGATGACGGCCACAGTAACAAGAACAGCAACAGGTTTACTGATCAAAACAACAAGCTTGCATGTGCATCACACTTTTTTGTACATTTCTTAGCCATTACTGGACGACTACAATGTGAAAATGCCTAATTTCATGTTTTATGGAGGACGTAAACAAGCAATGATGAAATTTTCTCTCTTTTTAAATTGGGTGCAGCCCCCAAGAAATCAACTCCAGGGAAATTTGCTTACATTGGACATTTTCAGCAAACTGGAATAAATGCAGCAAAGTTTGAAAAAACGCTAATTTTCGCTGCCGTTGCCACCGTCAATGCTAAAACTCCCTAATAAATAAATTATACCGTGATTACCATTCAACATCCATACTTCAAGGTTAGTTTGTAATTGCAACTGAGTTGATGTCAGAGTATCAGAAAAAGAATGGCTAGTGAGAACCAGCCTTAGCTATGAAAAACAAAATTCCATGTGCATTTCCCTCTTACCCATGAACAAGTCAACTACTTTCAGCTTTCTAAAATGGTCATAATTGATAGGATCATATGCAAAGTTGGCAAGATTTGCTAGGATTTCTTCCTTGGCCCCTGAAAGATAAGATGAATGATACATGTATTTGGTAAGTCTCTCTTATGGTGGACTAGCTGCAAGATAGTTTCAGTAGAGGTAGATCAAAGACGAGAGACATAACTAGCTGAGTTACAGAAAAGGAGAAGAAAACTCTTGGAGTAGTCACAAACTTATTTGGCGGAAATGTTATGTGCCACTAAACAAGTATGCTTTTCATAGGCCGCGAGCAAGCTCTCTGGGGCGGTCTTGACCAGCTGCAGAGTGCCCCAGAGAGTTTGCTCGCAGGCCAAGGTTTTCAGGACCTTGAGTCTTGAGGACAGGATAAAGAATACACTATTTAGCATCATGAACAGTTTCTTTTTGGATCATTTTGGACAGGAAGCCTTCAACAGGGTGGTGTGCAATATACGTGCATGGCACCCACAATTTCTTTACAACAATTTAATTCTATGATGTCGATATTTCAAGAAAATGAGTCAGGGTCATGAAAAATGGGATGCTCTCCAGGCAGTTCTTAAATCTTACCCTTTTAATTTTGTTTTCCACAGTTAACCGAAAAGGTACCCCTTTCATATAAACTTACCTTCTATAGAAAATGGTATGATACTCCAGCACAAAAGATCAATTTTCACGTGTTAATACAAGCTAAAGGGGGCCCCTTCGTTTAATTCACTGACTTCTAGAAAAAAACAATTCTGATCTGCGTTCAATAAGCTACTGTCAGAAAGCAAAGCTTCAAATTAACTTCACCTTGTTTGTCGGTATCTTGAAATTCTGTCACCAAAGCCTGTAAGTACTCAAACCGTCCTAGATCATCAGCTCCAGTCTTACTATCGATACGAGTTTGACTTGAAAACATATCAGCAGTTACATTCTCCGCCACTTCGCCATGTTTTCTTCACCTAGTGTCCAGTTCTTACGCGGCCCCTCCGAAAGTGTGACTTCTGAAAACTTCCCTTTGCGTGATACCCTGCGAGCAGTGGTTTCCGGCCTGGAGAAACCTTGGAGAAACCACTGCTCGCAGGGTATTTGCGTGAATGCTATTTATAGTAATTTGTATGATATAACGAGTATTCGTCAGCAGTTGTGTGCTGTTTAGGGTTTACAAAGAACAAATTTGACTACACACTCTGCTCCGTCCCCGGGGGGGGGGGTACTCCCATACATTACCTATCCTCCGCCATTTCAGAGGCGTTTTCTAGAATGGGGTATAAAAAATTGTGGATCACGGCTTTATCTTCTGCTTGAGATTGTTGCTTATGAAGGGATGTATAAGTCGAACAAATAAAGAAATATCTTTTAAAAAAAACGGGCTATTTCGTTTATTTTCTAGAACGGAGTGTAAAAATGCCCATTTCTAGAACTGATTTTTAGAACTAGGGGGTATCCATTTCAGAGGCATTTTCTAGAACGGGGTATGTTTTCTTCACCTAGTGTCCAGTTCTTACGCGGCCCTTGAGAAAGCGTGACTTTTGACTTGTCTAACTTCAAAACTTCCGTTTGCGTGAATGCTATTTATAGTAATTTGTAAGATAAAATAACGAGTATTCGTCAGCAGTTGTGTGCTGTTTAGCAACCCACTTTTATTTGTCTGAAACAGTGCTTGCAAATGGGATCAAAGGCAGAGAAGAAAGTTATTATCGTGGGGAAATATTGTGTCGGCAAAACTGCTCTGATTAATAGGTTTACAAAGAACAAATTTGACGAACTCTCGCCGTACCATCCTGTACGTAAGTTTAATACATGCATATGAATTTTAAAATTGGTCATATTTGTTTCCATAAATATCACCATAACGGTCATAATGTAAAGATTATCTAACCTCTACCAAGCTATTTCTTTGATCCGATTTTATTTTTAAAATAGTTAAAAGCTATTTTTTCCCTAAAAACCCAGCAAACGTACTCCTAGCTCCACTTTGCAAGAGTCCTAAAGGAAACTGAGAGAGACTAGCACGTGGTAGATGATCATATCTTCCGTAAACCACGAAATTAAATCTAGTCTTGGCCAAAAACATTAAGCTCTATAAGCAAGCGTCTTGATTTGAGAAGCCGTTTTAACATAAATTAATTTGTCCATCTTCTAACACACTGTGATCCAATATTCAGGGGAATGTCACGCAATATATACGCTATATTTGCATAGAGGAAGTCCCGCAAACTTGAGCAACGGGGGATACTCATTTCTGAAAACATAATAACAAAATTAAAAATATGATAATGATGAAAACCTAATGAATAATATCTGAAGCGTCTATTTTTTTTTTTTTTATAAATTCCCCTTATTATTGGGCTGCCTGTGGCATGGCAAACGC